TAGATTCTCTATAAGAATACCAATAATTAATTATGTTCATATTGGCTTGCTATTTGGTTGAATACAGCTAGCCGTATTGGCCAGGGAATCTAGGCTTTTTCATATTTTATTGTCACATGATTGCTTTTGCTGTAATGAAAATCTTAATCTGTTACGATTTCAATGAAATTTAATCTGACATTTTTCGAAAAAAAAACAAAAAACAACACAAGACATACATTATACATGTGTAACGACGATATTAATTATATCTGTAACCACTTTTATGCTCGTAGTTTTTTTGTCACGAGTTTGATTAGAACTTTTTGATTTCTTATCGCGTGTTCTAACGCGCATGTCGAGAACATCATAGTAAAATTCAAATGACCATAAATACAAAACATAGGCACTATAGAGTATTTATTTTAAGAGAACTTTATTGTTCAAAATAAAATATGGAACAGATGCGTAAAGTAAACATTTTTATATTTATTGAAGAAACAATATGAATGAGCACTGCCTCTCTGGCGTTAAAATGGAAATAAAAACACGCAAATATAATAAAAGCATATAAACTGTTTGTGCAAATAACATGTTTTATGCTTTCAAAACTGATTTTGTTTAACACATACCAGGTTGTCTCTTAGGATGCAGGGCTGCCGACTTCTAGAGCGTTAGGCAAACTCCTAAGGCCCATGTCGTCAGCAATTTAGGCTTCCTCTTCCGGCTGCGAGACGATTTGCCTCCTCAGCCTACTAGGCCATCATTCTGCAAACTCAGACTGGCCGTTAGGCTGTCTCTTTTGCTAATTTTACAGACATGTTTGTAAAAAACTATTTACAGAACAATGTAAATTTTGCAGTTTCATACAAATGGTAGACAATTGTATAATTAATTTATCAATATGTACTTGTATAAGATCAGGTAAAAATCGAACGCAAAACAATATACATTTATTTATAATATGAGTATAATCTTTGTATTATTTGCAGCGCATTTCCATATATGATAAAATCACTCGTTTTCAAACAGACATAATTCGTCTTGAGTAGGCAGATTTAATTGATATAACATAATAGTTCAACGTCTTGCGACATTTAACGATAGTGTTGCGACATTTAACGGTAGGGGAAATCCGTGCGACATTTAACGCTAACATTGCGACATTTAACGGCAAATGATTTTGCAACATTTAGCGGCGGTTGCGACATTTAGCGGCAATGGTGCGACATTTAGCGGCGTTGCGACATATAACGGCGCCACAGCCATCGTTCACATATTTATAGAGCTAACAATATTGGTAATCATTTGAGTTTCTGTAGAAAAATATGACCTTCTCTAAATTTTAATTATAACTTAAAATGTATCAATACAATTCTACAGAATTAATAAACAAAATTCATTTAGAAAAATAATGAATTGAAGTTATGTTATGCAAACGGTGATTTCACTACTTTTCCAATAATTGATTATACCAGGTGATCAAACACTCTTACCCTCATCATCAATCACAAGTATTATGCTCTAAATTTATAGTTCCGTTTTATATTTTAATGTTCTTTAGTGGAATACCACGAATAATATATAACATATGCACAGGTTATCCTTCTTTTAGTAAATTGACATTAAAAACAGTAATTATTTCTAGTGGAGAGCCACAATATTATCACTTGGAAATCCAAAGTCTAAATGCCTACATGCATCTTTACAATAATTCTAAAAATAATTTCGTTTTAAACTGATTTCGTTTTAAACCGACCAATCACATTTTAACATCTTTCTTTTTAAAAAATTCAAAATGACCAATCAGGTGACAATACAAAATAATGTAATAATGTAACATAGCAACATGGAATATATAACGACAATCATCACCTGGACATCAGTCTTAAGGTTCAACAACTTCAAATATGGAGTGATACCTTAAATATTTTCTTTTAACGGAGCACGTGTATTTCTATACATATATATACAAAAAATGAAAACAAGTGCCGGAAAATATATATACTACCAAATGCAAGCGTCGAGTGAAGAAAAACCGCGAAAACACTATATATATATATATATATATATATATATATATATATATATATATATATATATATATATACTTATATATATATATATATATATATATATATATATATATATATATATATATATATATATATATATATATATATATATATACTCGACGCTTGCATTTGGTAGTGCTTCAAGAACTTGTTTAAATACGCCCCGCCAAACCCCATCCCTTCTTACAACAAACCGTTTTGTAATAAAATATTTCAATACACATTCTTGCTAAATATTAAGGTTTTTACATTATTCTTCACATGACACACAATAATCGTTTCTTGTAATATAACTTTTATAAAGTTGCATAATCTAATTAATTGTCTTTGTTTTAACGAGCATAACTTGTTATTGAATATTTTACAGATTACACAATATTATTCTGTTTGTAATATGTTGTAACCACGTATTCAGATCCTTTTTAGTTTCGTTTATACAGCAACAATGCTATAGATCTGATGAATCCCTTATACAAGTAACAGATACAGATAAATACCGATTGATTCTATTGATTTGTAATATGTACTACCAAATATTAAGCGTTATTCCTATGTATTTGTTGTTGTTTCTTGCTATAGTAGATAAGAGGAGAATAATTGTTTTACTCTCTATAAGAGAAAGGAATAAAACTTTTAGCAAAATTGATTGGACAAAGAGGAAAAGCCACATTTATTTTTCAGGTTACATAATTATAAATTTGATATCTGTTATTAAAACATATAATATTTTGTAGCTGTAAACACATTGTTTGTAATTCTCAAGTATATTTTTTAAATGACAAGTATGTCTTTAATAAAGAAAAATACAACAAATAATAGTTTTATAATTGGTTTATAAAACGATGAAATAATTGCGTATTAATTATCCTTAATGTATCAGAAAGTATTTAATATTTTTAGGCTGTACAACACGCATTGTCATGTCTGTCATGTCCTCAAGTCTTTTTTTTTAATGACACGTATCAGTTTTATAGATAAAAGAAGAAAAAACAACAAAATACATATCGTTTCATATAATTGCAGCATTGGACTACTGAAGACACGATTGAAATATATTTGCCGTATAAAATCCCTCGAGAGCAATGGAAGCAGAAGTAAGACTTTAAAGTTTTAGGCTGGTTGGTTGTGTCCATGAAAAATAATAAAATATGTAACGTCACTTCCGTCCCGTAGCACAAACATAGGCAATATTCAATATTTAACACTGAAAATAAATGAATCAAAGTTATTTAAAATAAAAGAAAAAAGAAATAACAACAACAAAGCATAGTGGAAATTAAAAACAAAATTTCTAATGGCTTTAATGTTGGATGCATGTAAGGAAACATCAAAATGGCACGATTCTTTCATTTTCATCCGCGTCATTCCTTTATCATGTCTGTGTGGCTGGAATTAAACAATTTAAGACATAAATCATGTTATTGAGTATGCTTTAATTATAATGGAATGGTGTTCATTGCGCAGAACTTTTGCTTAACTATAATATGGCAAGACGACCTTCTCGACAAATCAATGAAGAATAATCAATCTGGAAAAGGGAAGATCTTTTGAAAGTAGTTAAAAGAACATTGAAAAGGTGAAAATTGCAGACTCATTGATTGAATATGTCAATGGGAGATAATGGACGGTGTATCATCTCTCACGCACCCTAGTCGGCTTTGGCAATATTTAATAAGTTCTAATTAATAATTTTACAGAAATAACTATGGCAATTTGTGTGATAGATCCACTTGTATATCAGCGAAATAGGTTTTTGAAGTTATGGTTTGTTGAAATTGTATTGTCTTTTACTCAGGTAAAATACGTAGTAAACAAGGCTTAGAAACGTTTCATGAATATAACTAAATCATCTCCTTACCGAGGACCCTGTCAATGGCACTATATTCATGTACTTCCGACATGGCACTATATTCATGTACTTCCGACATGGCACTATATTCATGTATTTCCGATGTTTCCATTTCCGGACCTGCGTAATCGTTAATGTCCGTTGACATCTCACTAAAATTAACAAACGAATCAAGTTTGTTTTAGACTTACACAATATTTTATGATAAATACTATTATATTTATAACCATTAACTTTAACTTAGCCTGATTGTTTAATGATTGGATATATTTCAATAATTTATTTTAAATCTAAAGTAAATAATTTTGAAAACAAATAAACGAAAAATAGTTAACAGCAAAAATCCAAACAATAATATAAATACAAAACCATTTCCTTTTCCTCCTGCGGTGTAAAAATGAAACAAGTATTAGTGCCAGAGCTAAACATAAGCATAGTGTACCAAGGGCACCTCCAACTACACCGGCAACATTATGGTCGTGAATTTCGTCAACTGAAATCAATAAGAAAACATTTTTAAATTTGTCACTATTTTCACTATTCTATGACTGATGAAGTAATCGCTATTTTCTTTCTCTCAAAAACATGCTCAAGGTGACCTATTGTGGTCGCCCTGCGTCTGTCCTAAATAACAGTTGTATGAAATTGATGGAACTAGAGAGGAACGATATACTTGGATGATCCTTTAAAAAATGCTCAAATGATTGCTGGAAAAATGAAATGTCAGAGATAAAGAATGAAATAAGATTTAAATTACGTCTCCTCCTAAACTGCTTTATAGATTTTGATGAAACTTTACAGAAATGATCCTAAGCTTTTTTTATTTAGATAGTTATTTTTCAGAGTCAGCTGAACGATCTAGAAATCAGAGCAAGAAATAGAAAATCTGTTTAAACAGAATCTTTTCCTTAACCGCAGATTTTAGTGAAACTTTACAGGAAATTTAATCAAGTGGTATTTTACAAAACTTGCTGGAATTGTTCCGGTTTGTTGAACAAGATGGTAACCAGAGCTTAAAATCAAAGTAAGCTTTTAACGATACTGCTTCCTCAAATATGCTAGAAAACTCTGCAGGAATGGTCTTCGATAGTCCTTTCAATTATTTTAAAATGGTTGCGATCTGTTAAAAGTTACAAGCTACTGGTAATTTAATTCAACACAGCTAAAAAACACTAGAAAAAAGCTCTTCAAAAGTGCACTATTTTGAGGATTTTTTTCTATAACGGTTGTGTAACCCCTCCTCACGACATACAAATGAGTAGTGACATTAACATTGAACTACAATACAAGAGTATTCTTCCCTGTACACACTCAATCATGAAACTAACAAATATCGGAAGATTTTTAGATTAAATAAAAACATGCAGTGCAGATTAAATTTAACTGTGTAAATGGAAACGCAGCACATGCATATAACTACTTCGTGAGAGAAAATAAATAACTGTAAACAAATATTTTATGTGTAATAACTCCCCCTTATATATCCCTATTTCACTGCAAAAGCTGAGGGTAGTAAACCGCTGCATTGCTAAGTTATGTATTCTACATGTTTTAGTGGCAAAGATCAACGTGACCTTTACCTTTGACTTACTGACCTCAAATTTGAAACTGCCACTGCATGACTTGAATACCCCCATTCATGCAGCTTTGCATTGGGGTGTTTTATGATGTGTATATCAGATCATAATTATATGCTTGAAATCTGAAAATGTAAGCAGACAGGCTTATTGCAGTAAAAACCCCTTTGACCTTGACCTTTGACAAAGTCACCTTAAATCAATAGGGGTCATCTACTAGTAATAACCAGACTAAATTCAAATATGAAGACTGTTGACCAAATCATTTTTAAGCAATTGGGCGGACGAGCTTTTTGAACTAAAGGTCCCTGTGATCTTGGCCTTTGACCCAGTGACCTCAAAATCAATAGGGTTCACCTTATAGTCAGGATCAACCTCCATGCCAAATATAAAGACTTTAGGTCAAAGGATTTTTAAGTTTTCTGGCGGACAAGTTATTCTTAGTCAAAGCCCCTATGACCATGACCTTTGATCCAGTGACCTGAAACTCAATAGGGTCATCTAATAATCATGACTAACTTCCATGCCAAATATGAAGACTAAGAACTAAAGGATCCTTAAGTTATTGGGCGAACAAGCTTTTTTGTCAAGGCCTGTGTAACCTTGACCTTTGACCTAGTGACCTCAATAACAATAGAGGTCATATACTAATCATAAACAATCTAAATACCAAATATGAAGACTGTGCACCAAAATATTATTACGTTTTTGGGCTGACAAGAAAACTCCTACGGCCAGACGGCCGGACAGACAAGCTGATTCCAGTATACTCCCTTAAAACTTTGTTGTGCGGGGGAACAATTATGAAAAAAATGATTCCTAGGAAGCATTTAAAACAGCAAAATGACATAAAAATTACAGACTCGGTTTCATTGGGTCTATATATGAGTTTTGTAGGGAAAGGGAAAAGTGTGTCACTTTTTCAGAAAAAGAAACAACTCTGTTTACTTACCTCTGTTTAAAATGAGCAACATTTATCAAGTGAAATTTTATCAATTGCATCATGTCAACAGTGTAAGAATTATTATTCAAGGGGTAAGGCGCATAATGCCTGAGAAATCCATATTCTTTTTTAATTCATTAAACATGTCGATTATGTGATAAATGTTTTAAAAATGGATTTAAAACATGTAAGATTTGAGCCTGCAACATTTTCAATTTTGCCGTGTTGGGCTTTCTTTGGGGATTCTGTATTTATCTATTTTATGATCGATCACATCCGTGTTATTTGTGCCGTGTGGCGGCTGTAAAAAGTCTCCCCGTACATTTAATCAATGATGTTATATTTTCGATCCTTGAAGATTGTTCAGCACGACATTATTGTTGTGCTTGTGGTATTTTGAGTTTCAACTTTTCGGCATTTTCTAGTTGGGTGGTTCCAATATTCCTACTTGAATAATGTTGAAACACCCTTAGGATATGTTGCCTGCTTTTTAAATTTGTCTTTTGACGTCTTATCTGTGATACGCAGGCTTCATAACCTCTGATCCCCTTTCAAAATTCCATTTTATTTAGTTCCGCCCATTGTTTTCTCGTTTAGGGCACGCGCTTTTTATTACTTGGGGACCATACGCCGCTTTTCATGGAATGGCACGGAAGTATCACATTGAAGGTTCCATGATAACCGCCGTATGAACACATCTGCGGATGTTTCTAAATTCAAAATTTTACTATTTCACGTTTAAATGTTGAATTCTGCTTAAGCCGGTGCTAGGGGGCGTGGACGGTAACTTGCACTTTCCAGCACCGTCCATGAACAGGCTCAATCAAACCGAGCCTGCAACATTTTCAATTTTGCCGTGTTGGGCTTTCTTTGGGGATTCTGTATTTATCTATTTTTTGAAAAAAAGCTGAAGAAAGAAGCGCTGAACTTGCAGTATAAACAATATATAAACTGACATTCATAAATCATACTAATCCACTACTATTATACCAATTGCTAAAATAGCAAAAGATAATTCGTGTATAAAGCAAATGAGTATTTTGTTCTGTAACAAGGGCTTTTATACGATGTCCTATTTCGTCGTCAAAATTTCGCTAAGTAACACGCGATAATTATCGCCTCTAAAGGGCGAATAAAGTACTAAATTCCGTATGTCTTAAATTTCGCTCGCCTAAAATTTAGCCAAATTCCCCTCTCCAAAACATATTTATGTATTGTTTTTCCAATTAAATGAGAGATGTTGTCATTTGGAAAGATAATTGTATTGTATAACAATTTTACAGACAATGGACAACTTCTGTCACTTTTACATGTTCCGCTTTTTCTTCTACACTACGTAATTTCTCCCTCTCAATGGGCAGAGCCACAATTCCGTCGAAAGAGTATAAAACACCGATCACAGGCATATCTTTGTGTAAATTATCTTAAATTACCATTGATACATTTTTAAAGCTTGTACATAAATGTTGCAAATAACTTTTGAAATTTGTATCAGAAATACAAATAACTTTCATTTAAAGATAAAAATGAAAAAAAACACCTTTGACAAATAATTTAAACCTGTAGCACTATTCAATATTTTTATATTCTTATAAAATCTCATGTAATTGCATTATCATCCTGGAAGATGTAAACATGGCCTAGCAGGACCCCGTCTAGCTATTCATAAGCTATATCACAAATTAATGATAAAAATGATCATGTTTGACCATATTCTATCAACGCTTTTATCAGATTCTATTATCTAAAATTAATTTCCATGTGGTTTTAGTGTTTCAATAAAATCACTATTTGCATGTATCATAATTCACCATTACAATAATAATAAAGATAGTGAAAAGACTTGAATAGCGTGAGTAGTTTGAGCAATATCTTATGAAATAGTTTTAAAATATTTGAAATCTAAAAGCTGTAAATTCATGTTGTTTCCTGATGGACAATTATTGAAAGAGTTATGACAAAGAATGTTTGTTTAACATACGGCAATTTCTAACTTTACTGTTAGATGAAGACATCATTTTCCCCTCAGTGTATTATTTCAAGCACAAATTGACGGAATGAAAGACCTACTTTGTTTATTGATATTGATGCCGTTAAATGTGAAGTTGAGTTCTACTCGGTCATACTGGTGTTCTATTATGACAGTGTATAAACGGTCTTTAAGAGCATTGTATGCACTGTACGAAGCCTCATCATTAGCATTCACCTCCGGGAATTCAATTGTTGCGCTCTTATTATTCGGTGATATATGGATGTATCTGCCAAGTGACGACTTTGGGGGAAGCATCACTGGTCCTGAATACAAAAATTGTATTAAAACATATTTAAAATGAAAGCAAAAGAATGCAATTTAAACTGCTTTTTTTTCAAAATATCACCATATCAGGCATTTCATGTACCAAAAGGTTTTCAGTACCTGTTGGCTTTCAGAATGTTTTATACATATTTGGAGGGACTTTTTCTTCAAACAATTTATAACTCCGCTCCTAAAATAACAATACAAGTGGGTTCATTTAAATTTACATTCAGGCTTTCTAATCTTGTTTGCTTGCATTTGTTTGATTTTAAGTCACACCAACATTTGAAAGATTTTATGGCAACTTTTAAGCTTTACTAGTGGAGGAAAACCTCAGTTGCCCCTTAGTGCTTATCATATGCATAAGCTGGCACCTTAGTAGAACCACCAACTTTCCATCAGCTGACTGTATAGCGTCCTGACATATAACAATTCAAAGTGTTATATGGGATTCAAACCCACAGCGTTAGAGGACAAACGGTTTGAACGGTTCGAACAACCTGAACCAGCCATCTCATTACGTGGAAAACTATATCATTTTTATATATTGAATAATATATCACTAAACATACTTGTAATAGTGACGCCTGTTTTCTTGTCTGTCTGTTCCTCGTACCACTGCCATTTAAAAGTCATCTGATTCATGAATAATCTATCTGTGGTTGCCTGCACTTCAATAAACACTGACATGCCTGGTTCCACATCGTATGTAGAATTGGGACCATTTAGTACAACAATCTTGTCTATTAATGGAAATAAAATCATCTGTTACTACGGTAACACATCGCATTTAAACACCGAATACAATAATCATAGTTTCCATTTAATCATTTTATTTGTAACGACTGTAACACTGTATATTATTTACACCAAATATATGAACTTCGATAATCTTATCTTTAAACAAATCTTCGGCTCCTATGGTTATATAGTATATTTACTTCTATATCTAACAACAATGATGGTCAACTCAATTCAATACAATTATCATATAAAAAGAGCAACTCATTTAAATTCATTAGAGATCAGTTTAAAAATATTTTAGTCACAAACAAAATGTACAATAACTTAACAGAGCAAAAATGTTTCAAAGTCTTTTAAATTTTAGTGTACTGGTGACAAAAGATAATGCCCATGCGCGAGAGCTGGTCAATAAAAGCCAGCACTTTCGAGTCAGTGCATATTTTGAAATGTTCTCAAAAATGATGAATGGTTTTGTCTAAATTGTACCATGGAGGAGACCAATGAAGATATATTTAACTAAACGTCTTGAAAACTGCGTCCAGTTCAAGTGTTAATGTGTTAAGTGTTAATGGACCTTTCCAGTGTTTACAGTTTATGTATATTGGCTAACTTTTTCTTCAACTGCTACACTGAGATTATAAATAAATAGTCACTGGTTGACCTGGTTTGCACAAAAGAACACATGGTTATGTTTGTGATACTGTTTGTGAGCAGTTGACCTAACAATGAATGGAAAAGGTGTGGCTAAATGTTCCGCTACGAAAAAAACGGATAGTCCATAGAGCATTCACAAATGACAAGAATCAGAATACAGGATATTCAAAGGAAACAAATAAGTACAAGTATGCTTTGATATTGTGATTTAGTTTTTAATTACAATCCTGCTGGAATGTTAAGTAATTAGCCCTTGCCACCACTAAATACATGATGCCAGCCTGTATTTCAGTACAGTTTGACTAGGTCCTATACAGTTTGCAGCTCAAATTATAATAATTGTACCTTGATATTGAAAAATCTTTGACTTTCAATGGACTATTCAATTTGCTTGTACACCTTTACATTTTTCTGTTATTTATTAAAAAATAAATCTAAGTATGATTGGGTGAAACATTAGGTGAAAATGCTTTGGAAAACAATCAAAACTATATGAAGTTTTGTAGGGAATGGGAAATGTGTGTCACTTTTTCAGAAAAAAGAAACATCTCTGTTTACGTCACCTCTTATAATGATGACAAAAATTAACAACATTTATCAAGTGAAGTTTTATCATTTGCATCATGTCAATTGTGTATAAAGTATTATTTAAGAAGTTGGCACATAATGCCTGGGAAATTCATATTCTCTTTTTTTTATTCATTACATGTCGATCATGTGATAAATGTTTTAATAATGGATTTCAAAACATGTAAGATTTGAAAAAGCTGAAGAAAGAAGCGCTGAACTTGCAATATAAACAATTTGTAAACTGACATCCATACAAAATACTAATCCTTTTTAATTATACCAATTGCCAAAAGAGCAAAATATGATACGTTTGTTTTTTGTTGTTTTTTGTTTGTTTGTTTGGGTTTTACGTCACACCGACACAGTATAAGTCATTTGGCGACGTTTTAGCTTTACTGGTGGAGGAAGACCTCCGGTGCCCCCTTCCGTGCATTATTTCAGGCATTATTATTTGAACAAACTTTGAAGACACTAACTGGAAGATGTTCATGCTTAATATCTTAAATCTAGCTGTTTTTTCAAAGAAGTTTTTTTAAAGTTTTTGCCATACACATAAATAAAATCAATGACCCCCGGGGCGAGGCCAATTTTTACCCAAGGGCTTTTATATGAACAAACTTTGTAAACACTCACTAGAAGATGTTTCATGCTTAGTGACAAAACTCTAGCTATTTGTTTTTTTTTTCAAAGAAGATTTTTTTAAAAAGTTTTTGCTTTACACATATAAGGAAAATCAATGACCCCCGGGGCAGGGCAAATTTTGACCCCAGGGCTCTTATTTGAACAAATTTGGTAGACACCCATTAGAACATGTTTCATGTTAAATATCTTAGCTCTAGCTCTTTGGGTTCTTTAAAAGAAGATTTTATAAGTTTTTACTATATGCATATAGGGAAAATCAATGACCCCCTTGGGCGGAGCCAATTTTGACCCCAGGGCTTTTATTTGAACAAACTTGATAGACACTCACTAGAAGATGTTTCATGCCAAATATCTAAGCTCTACCTTTTTGGGTTTTTAAAAAGAAGATATTTTAAGTTTTTTCTATCGGTTGCCATGGCAACCAGAGTTCTGCATGGAATTAAATTCTTTGAACAAATTTTAATGGTGACCACCAAACATTCCTGTGAAGTTTGGATGAAATTGGCTCAGCGGTTAATGAGGAGATGTCATTTAAAGTAAAAGTTTACGGACGCCGGACGAAAAGCGATCACAAAAGCTCACCCTGTCACTTTGTGACAGGTGAGCTAAAAACCTTTGACCCCCCCCCCCAGGGCGGGGCCAAGTTTGATACTAGGGACAAAATTTGATCAACTTTGGTATTGGACCTTCAGATAATACAATATACCAAATATCAAAGCTCTAGGCCATTTACTTTCAGACCAGAAGATTTTTCAAGTTTTCACTATATGTATATAATGAAAATCAATGACCCCCCGGGGCAGGGCCAATTTTGACCCGAGGGCCATTATTTGAACAATCTTGGTAGAGGTCAACTTTACATTGTTTCATGCCAAATATCTAACCTGTAGCCTTTACAAATTCAGAGAAGTAGATTTTTTTAGGTTTTACAATATACATATAAGGAAAAACCTATGACCCCCCAGGGCGGGGCCGATTTTAATTCTAGGAACAAAATTTGAACAACTTTGGTTTTGGACCTATAGATGATACAATAGACCAAATATCAAAGCTCTAGGCCATTTACTTTCAAACCAGAAGATTTTTCAAGTTTTCACTATATGTATATAATGAAAATCAATGACCCCCGAGGGCGGGGCCAATTTTGACCCGAGGGCCATTATTTGAACAATCTTGGTAGAGGTCTACCACACAATGTTTCATGCCAAATATCTTACCTGTAGCCTTTGTCAATTCAGAGAAGAATATTTTTTTATTTTTTACTATATACATATTAGAAAAACCTATGACCCCCCGGGGTGGGGCCAATTTTTACACTAGGGACAAAATTTGTACAAATTTGGTATTGGACCTTCAGATGATACCATAGACCAAATATCAAAGCTCTAGGGCATTTACTTTCAGACCAGAAGATTTTTCAAGTTTTCACTATATGTATGTAATGAAAATCAATGACCCCCGGGGCGGGGCCAATTTTGACCCTAGGGCCATTATTTGAACAATCTTGATAGAGGTCTACTACACAATGTTTCATGCCAAATATCTAATCTGTAGCCTTTGCCAAATCAGAGAAGAATATTTTTTAGATTTTACTATATACATATAAGGAAAAACCTATGACCCCCCCGGGGGCGGGGCCAATTTTGACACTAGGGACAAAATTTGAACAACTTTGGTAGAGGACCCATAGATGATACCATATACCAAAAATCAAAGCTCTGGCCCATGGACTTTCAGACAAGAAGATTTTTTAATTTTGTGTTTTTTGAAATCCTTTTCTGGTCCTATGACCTACATATGGAACAGACCGGAACCATTTGAACAACTTTGAAAGGGGACCACCCAAGGATCATTTCTGTAAAGTTTGGTTGATGTGCATGCATTGGTTTCAGAGGAGATGTTGTTAATGTTCAAAAGTTGACGACGCACGACGCACGACGACGGACGACGGACACAGGGCCATCACAATAGCTCAGCCTGAGCATTGCTCAGGTGAGCTAAAAAGGTAATTGACAAATAATTTAAACCTATAGAACGGTTCAATATTTTTATATAATTATAAAATCTCATATTATTACATTATCATCCTGTTAGATATTAACATGGCCTAGCAGGACCCCGTCTGCATATTTATTAGCTATATCACAAATTAATGGAAAAAAAATGCACATGGTTGACCATATTGCAACAAAGCTTTTATCAGCCACTATATTCTTAAACTTATTTCCATGTGGTTTTAGTATTTCAAGAAAACGACCATTTGTATGTACACATTCATTATCATATACATGATAACGTGACAGACTAAAATGATTTAATTTCAATCTGTCACAGATTTATATTATTGCTTATATTTTTAATATAAAAGAGATTAAAAAACAAGTGCCTAAATAGTTTTGCGTTCCTTCTATAATTGTTCTTTGTATGGCTTAAAAGATAAATATAAGAGCCCAAAACTCGTTTACAAATAAAATGTCTTTATATGTATGTTATTATTACTGTGTGCATAAATAAATGTATCATAATTCACCTTTACAACAATAATAAAGAAAGTGAAAATACTTGAAAGGAGTAAATTTTTAGCTAAACCTAATGCAATAGTTTCAAATAATTTAAAAACTAAAACTGTAAATCTATGTTGTTTTCGTAATATAATGGTCAATTCTTGAAAGAGTTATGACAAAGAATGTTTGTTTGACATAGGGCAACTTTATTATTATTCTCGTAGAGAAATACCTTTTGTGTCCCACAGTATATTACTTCAAGCACAAACAAGAATACAGTCTTTGGACCGATTTAAACCCATAGCGGGTAAGTGGCAAGTTGTTTGAGTTAACAACCATAGCCATTCAGACAAAGACACCCCAACGTAATGAAAATAAATAGGATTAGTAACTGAGCTAAAAAGGAATGATTTAAACAACAAACTAACTTACACATTCTTATAATTTACTTACTACATTTAATAATAATACAAGGGCAATTAAGTTTTCAAACAACGAAAAATTTATGAAACTGACGGAATGAAAGACCTACTTGGATTATTGATATTGATGCTGTAAATTGTAAAGTTGAGTTCTACTCGGTCATACTGGTGTTCTATTATGACAGTGTATAAACGGTCTTTGAGAGAACAGTACAAATTGTACGAGGCCTCGTCATTAGCATTCACCTCCGGGAACACAATTGTTGCGTTCTTACCATTCTGTGATATACGGATGTATCTGCCGAGTGGCGACTTTGGTGGAAGCATTTCTGGTCCTGCACGCGAAAATTGTAGTAAACATATTAACATTGAAAGCAAAAAGGCAATTTAAACTGCATGTTTCAAAATATCCCCATTTCAGGCATTTCTTTAACTAAATAGTAATCAATACCTGTCGGCTTTCAGAATTGTTTCTACATAATTGGAGGGTATTTTTCTTCAAATATTTTATAACTCGTACCCTACAATAACAATACAAGTGGACATATTTAATTTCAATTCAATTCTTGTTTGCTTGCATTTGTTTGATTTTAAGTCACACCAACATTGGAAAGCTGTTATGGCAACGTTTGAGTAGTTTCACTAGTGGAGGAAAACCTCAGTTGCCCCTTAGTGCATTATTACATGCAAGACCTGGCTGCTTAGTAGAACCATCAACTTTCCATAAGCTGACTGTATAGCATAATCCTGACACGAAACAATTCAAAGTGTCATGAAGGATTCAAACCAACAGCGTTATTGGACAAACGGTTTGAACGGTTTGAACGACCTGAATCGGCCAACTCAATACGTGGAAAACTATTTCATGATTATATATTGTATAATACATAAGTAAACATACTTGTAACAGTGACGCCTGTTTTCTTATCCGTGCGTTCCTCATACCATTGCCATTTAAACTTCATCTGATTCATGAAAAGACTATCTGTGGTTGCCTGTACTTCGATAAACACTGACATACCTGGTTCAACATCGTATGTAGCATTGGGACCCTTTAGTACAACAATCTTGTCTATAAATAAAAACATTATCATCTGATACTACAGTTAACACCTACTACACTTATCATAATTTCCATTAAAACATTTAATTAGTAACGACTGTATATCATTTACAACAAATTAATAAACTACGTCAATCGCATCTTTAAAAAAATATCATGAGCTCCTATGGTTATATGGTATATTTACTTGTTTATCTTACAAGAATGATGTTCAACCCTAAAACAATCATTTTATAAAAAGAGCAATAATCTAAATTCATCAGAGATCCGTTTAAAAATATTTCGGTCACAAACAAAATGGACAATAACTTAACAGAGCAAACATGTTTCAAAGTATTTTACTCCTAAGCCTGCTGGTGGCAACAGATAATACCCATGCGACAAGAGCTGGCCAATATAAGCCAGCACTTCCGAGTCATATGATCATAGTCTGCACCGTTTCCTATTAAGTCTGTGCATATTTTGAAATGTTCTCCAAAAGTCTATTCAGGAAATATCTAGCACTGTATGGGTTAAATGTCTTGAAAATTGCTTTCTGTTTAAATGGTTTGTAATAGGGCATTCACAAATGACAGGAATCAGAATACAGGACAAAAAAAGTACAAGTATGCTTTGATAGAGTGGTTTAGTTTAAATTACCGACATCCTGGAATGTTAATTAGCCTTTATCACAAGTATCTACGTTTTGCCAGCCTGCACATTTATGCAGTCTGACCAGGCCCTAAACTGTTTGTAGTTCAAATTTTTATAAAAACTTGTATTTTGATTTTGAAATCTCTTAAGGTTTGAATGGACTGTTCCATATCAAAAGGAGGGCAAATATGTTTTTTGCACCAATGCAGCATTGAGGCTTCCTATTTGACCCAGTGACCTACATTTGAATCATTACTTTTACTTCTACTGTTTGATCTAGTGATCTACATTTGAATCATCACCATCACTTTAAACTTACATTTTGAATCATCACCATCATTTTTACCTTTACAGTTATCTTGCCAAGTTAAACAGTCAGTCTGCACTATGATCGCATAACACCACATTGTCCGATATCATCTTCAAACTTGAGAACTATTTTGTTTCAATTTAAACTGATCACTAAATTTAAGATATCCAGTCTTCAAAAAGAGGTGTATATTTAGATATCAATTTTCATTATTTGCACTTTCTGCTATAAAGATAGCTATGACGGCATAGAATTAACCAAACAGTCGAATTGTACAAAAATAATAATCTACAACAGAAATTATGCGTAATTGTTTAAAACAATTTTCATCAAAACAATTACCTATGTCATACAATAAAAAACAATGAATGTTTGTTTGTACAAAATAAGGTCAAATTTACACAAACTAGAAATTAAACTAAAGTATTTCTTTGTTTTCAGCGGTTTTTGGCTAATTCTCTCTATCAATTGAAAAGAAAATTATGAAACTATTTCCTAGAATGCAAATATAAAACAATTCTCACTTCAAAGCAAGACATGCAAATATTTTTATCCCTGATATGCTCTTCTTTATTACATTTGTGGATGTATCAAATGGAAACCATAATTCTATATATCACTGTGATTTAAATATTGTGTAATTACTTAGATCTCACTCTGTTTCAAACAATGTCGGATTACCTTTATCTTACTTAGTTTCAAGCATTATGTTATGACATATCACACAAAGTTTCAAACATTATGTTCTGACTTATTTCTCACTCAGTTTCAAACATTATGTTTTGACTTATACAACACCACGCAGTTTCAAACCTTGTGTGATTACTTATATCTTATTCTGTTTCAAATATTGTGGGATTACATATATCTCACTCAGTTTCAAACATAATGTTACAACTTATAATTTACACAGTTTCAAACATTATTTTATGACTTATATCTCACTCAGTTTCAGACATCATGTTATGACTTATATCTCACTTAGTTCAAATATTATGCTATGACTTATTTTTCACTCTGTTTCAAACATTATGTTTTGACTTATACATCAATCAGTTTCAAACCTTGTGTGCTTACTTATATCTCATTCTGTTTCAAACATTGTGGGATTGCCATAATGTTATAACTTATAATTTACTCAGTTTCAAATATAATGTTATAACTTATAATTTATTCAGTTCCAAACATTATGCTATGGCTTACAACTCACTCAGTTTCAAACATTATTTTTTGACTTATACATCAATCAGTTTCAAACCTTGTAAGCTTACTTATATCTCATTCTGTTTCAAACATTGTGGGATTGCCATAATGTTATAACTTATAATTTACTCAGTTTCAAATATAATGTTATAACTTATAATTTATTCAGTTCCAAACATTATGCTATGGCTTACAACTCACTCAGTTTCAAACATTATTTTATGACTTATATCTCACTCAGTTTCAAACATTGTGTGATTATTTATATCTCACTTTGTTTCAAGCATTGTGTTATGCGAATACCTCACTGATATTATTTAATATCTCATTGAAACAAGGTATTATATACGGATGCCAACATATTCAACTGTTTTGCCAATTCATATATATACGGACAGCATGACGGACAGATAAGGACAAATCTATTCCCCCACCCGAAAGACATGGGAACATAAAATATACATAAAATAGTTACCAATAACAGTTAGACATGCATCACCAATTGTTGATCCATAATTATTTCGTACCAGACACTGCACACACAGAGTATCATCCAATGTTACATTTGTTAACACAAGTCTTTTTCTATCTGAAGGCATTTGCCATCTGTGCCGTTGGATATCTGCACCACCAGCTGTAACAGAAAGAAACACATTTACCCTTTTCCCTGCCGAACTTCTTAAATGAAAATGTCCAACTTCAATAATGAATCAATTTATTTGATTGTCCATTATACATTTTTGAAATATTAAAATTTAAGTTTAAGAAAAGATCTTGAGTACCTCACCATCATTTCAGTGTATGGACCCAAGCAGAACTATCAACAATTAAAGTTATCTGGACTGCTGCCATAGATGGAGGAATCCAAAGTCTCAAGTTGGAATTCAATTCAAACCAACAATGATTGACTGGGAGACAAATATATAACATTTTTCCTTTGATTCATTACATTAACTTTCCACATTTCCTTGAATTGGAACAGTCTATTGTTGATTCAGATTTTCATAATTTCAAAATAATAAAATCAGATGACATTAAAAAAAGTCTGGTGCTAAACTGGTGACGTCATCTCTAATGTTCTGTGTAAAATAAATAATAGTAAAAAAACTCTTACGGCAAGCACGTTCATCAGACCCATCAGAGCAGTCATTATACCCGTTGCAAACTTGTTCTTTTGTTAAGCAAGCCCTCTTATCCTTACAAAGGAATCCTGGGTACTCGCAGTCAATGCCCTTGCACTCAAGACCGGTTCTTTCACATTTGCCGTTACACCAGACTTGACCCTTGGCACATGATCCTGAAAACATCGTATTCTAGAATAAAGTATTATAGTAATTTATCACACATTATTTTCACACTGACGTTCATATTGAGCGAAAGTTTATCAGGCCGAGGAAGATATCAGGTGCCCCGGAAATGTTTTTTTCAGGCACAAACATGCAGAAAAAGTAGAAAAATCTACCTTCCATAAGCCACTAAATAGCTTTCCTCACTTAGAAAAAAACATAACATAACCCTTACAATGGTGAATATGTGTAATAGATTTGTCCTGTTTTAAATTGGTACAATTTATTATAGTAAGTTAAAAGGATTTCAATATGAAAAAACATGGAAAGTAAAGCTAGTGCCTGATCCAGTCTGCAATGATGTGCAGGCATGCTTGGTTCTATACTGGAGGCAAAGGCAAGTTAGTTTTGGTTTCCGCAAGTTAAGGAGTAACTGATGAAACTAATAAAACACCTCTGAAACTACCAATCCTGTCACAATTTTGATCTGCTGCAAAGCTGACAACTCCATCAACTTAAATAATACTTACTGTAAACACAAGAGTGACACTAGGACAAAAGTCAGAACCACTTTAGCATGAAAATTTGTAAAAATTAAGTGTTGAAATGCCTTTCACCCAAACCAGGCTTTACAGCCTCAATCAAACCGAGTCTGCAATTCTCTTGTAATTTGTTGTGATTAATGCTTCCGAGGGATGACTTTGTTTCCAGATTTTTTTTAAATTGTGCAAAAATTGATTTTAGATGGAACTCTAAGTATAATTCTTTTGCATTCTTTTCAATTTTAAGTGAATCACTAGATCTATGCAAGCATTTCAATTTTTTTGTTTTAAGACCTCAGTGAAGCTCAATTAAAAACATGGTCACAAACAATGTTATTTTAAAATATACTTATACCTACGATAAAAATAATAGACAAAAATATATACAATGAACATAAAAACCTGCAAAATGAAATAGTAATAATATGTGAATGCAAACGTTCAAAATTTCACTTAATGGGAGAACACAACAGGTGACGCATCAGACATCACACTATTCCTATTCTTGTTTATTTACTGTTTTCTGACAAAATGGTCAGTTATGAAAAAATAAGAATAACAGATAATTTTCCAATACCAAATCTGATCCAGATCTTTTTCAGAAAAGCACCATCAGAATTTACGTGAGCAATTTTTTTCTCCATTAAACTGTTGGTAATGCCAAAAGCTTAAATTTCAGTGCTGCTAATAAATCATATTTTAAAAGACCTCATAAATGATCCCTTTTAGTGTTATGTTTTACAAAATAGGGGTGGGGAGGCGGTTTGTGTACAGAGCACAATTTCAAAGGGACATCATTGGGTTTTTTAAAATGACAGGACTGAAAATGTTTTGAACAATTATTTGTGTACAAAGTTTCATATCTTTTGTTCACCACGTTTTTCTGTACTAACATATTTATTGTACAAAATGAAGTAAAAATGACAAATGTTAAAATAAATGTTTTAATAAAAATGTTCAAAATAAATGTTATAACTCATATAGGGCTAAGAATCGCATTTGATATTGATTATCAATTTATGTCTAAGCATATTTTTTTCATATTATTATTTCCATTTCTTTGAATTTTAAGCGTAACAGATAACTGTTTCATTACATGCATGATTATAAATTGTAATTGGTTTGGTACAGTTCATTCTAATTTGTTAATCACTGACGAAAAGGTGTAAGTGTGTATGAGGGGAGGGTGGGGGAGGGAAGGAAGTGGGGCTTATAAGGATTTTTTTTTTACTGCACTTTGTCTTTAGGGGATGCCAGTAAAATTCGCCAATTAAAGATTTTATTTGTCAGAAATAATATTTTGTCGCATTTGCCACAACTGGGGAAAGACAATCCTTGGAGAAATTCGATTTTTTACGGACAGGCCTATAGCAGTATTGTAGAACTATTGTCACACCTTTTGCAATTTTTATGCGACAATTTTCGTAAATGTGCGATATTTTCGCAAATCGTATACCTTTTCCTGTCACTGGCCAGGATTTGGCTTTAAAAAGCAGGGATTTGGACCAAAAGTAGGCAATTCGTAGTTGTGTGTTAGCGAGCAAACATACAACACCTACTTAAATTATGTTTGATTAACTTAAGTTAAAGCAATAGTGTTTGATTTTGTGCTAAAGATTTAGATTATTGTTGAGAAACTTAAGACTGTAAGAAATCTCAACTCTGATTTAAATTTCGTAAACGGATAAAGAGTAAAAAGGGAATAAAAGACAAAATTAAATAACAATTGGAATTTGATTGAAATTATTACCGAACTACATTAGAATCTACATATCTGATTTAAATAAAACAAATAAAAAGGAAATATATTACAAGACATGGAGATTAAAAGGATCAATAATTAGGATTTAAGACACAGAAAATTTCGATAAATAGAGTCAGTGATTAATATTGATGCATTTTATCCATAAATATTTTATTAATCCAGCCAGATAATTATTTAACTTAAAATTTTACTTAGCTGTGAATCTTTTTAAATGTGTTACATCCATGCTTATAATTATTCAAACTGACATTTCTAATGAATGATATGGTTTAAAAAATATAATGATAACTAACTATACAAAATCAATTAAGCGACCAAAGCCCCAAAATATCTAAATATTCACAATCATTAGCCTTCTGAAATTTTATTCAATCACTTTTACTGATATAGATACACGCTTTATAAGAAAATGTCATTTCGATTCAAATATATTAACTTTTAACATATATATAATATATATAAGTAGTTGTGCTATTGGAGATTTACATGCTGTTATTGGCACTCTTTCATAAATACAACAGCGGGGCTCATGTATAACCTTCTTTCACTAAAAACAACATATTTCATTATTAGTGTGAAACATTTCAAACACTACTATCACTAATGCAAGATTTTAGCTAATTAGCTGTAACATTCTTAACAGCAACATAATTCTATATTTGCTAAAACCAATTAATATCTATCGTTTAAAATACTAGCAATATGAATAAGCTTCTAAAATGGGCAACTTGATTTATTAAAACATACATGATAAAGATCCAGTACAGATTTTCTATTTTTAACTATGACTTTTTTTGGTTGGGCTTTACCAACACAATATAGGTCATATGGCGACTTTCCAGCTTAACTGATAAAGGAAAAACTCAGTGTAAATTCTATATTAATATTTTTGTTATTTTCTATTTCTTTTCTATATTAATATTTGTGTTACTTTCTATTATATATTCTATATTGAGACTTTTGATGCTTTTTATATCCATTCTATAGTAAAGTCAGATTTTGTTACTTTCTTTTGTATATCTATTCTATACATGTATTTAGACTTTTGGTAACTCTATGTTTATTCTAAAGTAAGACTGATGTATGTAACATGAATCATTATGCCTTCCTGTTAAGAAGGTTTTATTCTAAAGGGTCATGATTACTGGTCAAATTTAGTAATTAACCTAGCTTACAGAGATGTTAAAACAGATTGAAAACTCAATAATTAAATCAGCATGTCCTAAATTAATTATTTCTTTTATAAAATCTGAGAAAAAAATCTTTCAAAAGTTTCAAAAGTTGAAAATATTTATGCTGTCAAGCAATATTTGTCACAGGAATTTTTTAATACTTTTAGCCAGAAAAATCCATAGAATTAGTTTCACACATGTCATTTTAATTATAGCAAAACTATCCTCTACCCCGTTGTAAATGTCGTAGATATATGACCAAAAATACTTGTCGTTATCTCCATTAAAAGTGTATATTTTCACTTTACTTATACACATAACATTTTTTTCATTTTTTCTTTTTCTACTTTTCTTTAGACATACAACTTAGATTAAGCTAACATTTAGCTAACAATCAACATAAGTAAAATGATTGTTTCTACTCAAAATGTATGAAATATGTATAAAATTTTACCATAACCCACTCATTTTAAACATGTGACCATTTTCCAATTTAGACAGTCTAATTTAGAAATCCCTAAAATAACCAAAATAATGCATGTTTTCGAAGTTTTCCAATTTCTTTTCAAAAGTATATTGATAGTAGATAAACTTTTACCTGTAGTTTTGATTGTATTACACTTTGGCAATATCAGGTACCATATTTGTTATAAGGTTTAGCATTGTTATTAGCAAATAAATATCTATATTAAATTAAATAATTAAAATCAAAACATTTTTTTCTTCCAAAAATATAGAGGTACATTAATAATGTTAACAGAAAAAAAGAAATAAAGGAAGAAAGGTAACCCATTTGGGTTTGAACCCACGGACATAAGTTTCAATGCAGGTAAGCTTTTTTGAATATTCTTCAAAGCGGAGGTAATGCATTAGGATGGTCACACAATAAGCTTACCTGGACAGTTAAGTTCGTCACTTCCATCAGAACAATCAGGAACATTGTCACAAACCACATTCTCCTTTACACATTGGGATGAACCAGCTTTTAGTTCAAAACATTCAAAATGTCGATCAGGGCAGCCTAAAATTTCAACAAGATACAGCATTCAAAACGACAGTCTGAGAAGCCTGAATTTTCAATCCAATCCAGAACTCAAAATTTTTATCGGGGAAGCATAAAATTACAAGATATGGCATTCAAGATCTTGATTGGAACGGCATAGCATGTAAAAGGATCTTTGCCATGCTTGTTAAGGGCAAGAGCAGTGTGTTAATTCAGCTAAGCATTATGCTTTTTAGTCCCCTACCCTACCGATTTTACCGGAGTAAACTTTAAATTTACCCTCCCTCCGTTCGTATGTCCATCAGTCAGTCCATCCGTCCATAAATTTAGATGCCGCGATCACTTAAAAAGTACTAAAATACTTTAATGAAACTAAAAATATGGGTAGATGACAAACTACAGATTAAGCACGTCTTTTTTTTTTCTTCATATGTTGAAAAACATTGTTGCTATGGCAAAAAATAGACTTAAAATATGGCAAACATAACACAAAAACTAGATCCCGTGATAACGCAAAAAGTACTGACAAAATTTTCATCAAACTCAAAATATTGATAGATGGCAGTCTGGAGATTCTGCACATCTTTCTTTTTTCTTCCTTTGTTGGAATATTTGATTGCTTTGGCAAAACAAATAGACTTGAAATATTTCAAATATCATAATATTTGTGATGACTCAAAAAGTACTGAAAACAATGAAACGAAATATGGAAAGACTGCAGAATGGAGATTATGCTTTTTATGTTATTTCTTTATTTCATAACGTTTCTACTTAAAACAGTATATATATGTTTCTTATCATCACTCACATCATATATGGCATGGTTCATAATTCAAGCACCTATATTATCAGAATTATCATCCCTGAACCTTGAATTTTCATGAAAAATGTTGTTTGCTTTCTAAAACTGCTTTATTTTTAAGGTTTCTTCTTCACACTTCAAGTATATGTTCCTTCTATTACTAAAATCATGTGTGCGAAGAATAAATACACTATTTTCAGACTATTTCCAGAAAATGTCCCCCTAAGACTTAGTTCTTTTCTAGATTTTATTTTCAGTTTTTACAGGATTTACTTCAAAATTCAACCCCCAGATCATAATAATATTATAAGGTTTATAAATCTACCGTCCATATTTCCAGAATTATCTGGCCCCGTAAAATTTGAATTGCTCTTTTTTATTCTATAACTCTAATTTCTTCATGGATTTTCTTTATGTTCATCATTAACACTGACATCATATGTGATTAGGTTAAAATTCGAGCACCTGGGTACCATGATTAAATTCATTTTGAACTTATTATTTATTTGTAAATTGTTACATATTGTTACATACTTTTGTATTTTCTTCCTTGTTGATAGGGCGACAATTACGAAAAAACTAAGCTATTTTTGTAGCTAACTGGAACCATTTTTAACAAGACATGCTCTGTACCAAAATGTTCAAAACAGCCGGCATAAATTGGCATAAATGGTGGCGACCAACAGAGAAATCCAAGATGGCGCCCAAGATGGCCGCCAAATTCATGAAAATTACCACTCACTTATCACTATTACTTTATTTTAGGCAGTAAGAACAGATGCCTTTGTTCTTTTTTTTCATTCTTGTATCGAATGTGTGTCATAAATGCAGTTTTAGTAACTACTTTGATGTTAAAATGTTGTGTTTAGTAAAAAAACAGATAAAATGTCACGAAAATGGTTTAAAAAAAAACTAACATTTTAAAGATGTCACGCTCATGTTCCCATGTTTTTCGTGCAGTTCACATATAAATAAATATAAATTGTTTTGTATTGACTTATACTACAGGAAACAAATTTTATCATAAGTAAAATGTGTCTGAGTGTTTTCATATTATTTTATTTGTTTTTAAAACAATGTGTATTTCTGAGTGAGTGGGGTAAAATAACAAATTTACCTTCATCACATATCAATTGTAAGCAACTTAACATTTATTTACTTTATTAAACGGCTTTATTAAATCTATTATATACATATAACAAATGTTAGTAGTTGTGGAATAGATTAGGCAATAATTGTAAATATGCTTAATTTCAAGGGATTATTTACCCTTTATAACAAACCCTCAGCCACAAGACGGTAGGGGCTGCTTAAGGGACAAATAATACATATCTTACCTATAAGAGGTTCAGCATTAATAAACCAGACAGGGGGGTCACTGTATGAATTATGCGATGATGCCTTGCAACTGAATACAGCGTCATTTCCCATGGGCAATAACTTTTTTTCTGGGCTACTTACAAATCTTGGAGGTGCTGAATACAATCAAATATGAAAATATAAGTATTTGAATAAAAAGACGAAAGACTCATCTTGTTTGCTTTTGAAATGGGGTAATTATTATGATACTCTTTTATAATTTCTAACAAAAATTATTGAAATATTGTTTGCTCTTGAAAGTAATATAATTTTAAAATTTACATCTGTTTGATTGAAAACATATTTTACAAACCCAAACCTCACGTAATACTTTCAAAAATGACAGAGCCACGGCCACGAGTAAAAAATATCATAGTCTTAGTTCATGAGTGAAATAACTATATCTTACACTGACAAAAAAATGTGTCAATTGAGCAAACTGTAATGACTTACAAACTATCTTCAGGTTAACTCTTCCATAAACTGGACTACTACTTCCGAGCCTAGCCTCACACATGTATTCTCCCTCCTGATTCTGTTTGTCATCAGGTATCAAAACATTTTCTAACTTGTGTTTGTATCCTTCTCCTACTTTTATGCCATTTCTTAACCAAATTATCTTCAGTTTATCTCTACAAAATCAAAAGAAAAGTATATTTTTTGTGTGTTTTCCCCTTTGAAATTAAAACATACCTTACATATCAGACTTGTCTTTTCTGAAGTTCTGAAGGATGCTAAAAATGTTGTAAGGTTTACGCTTATAAATTACATCATTGTGCTGACTTTATGGACAAATCGCATTCTTATGTTATGAATTTGTAAATTCATACCCTTCTATGATAAAATAGTGTTATATAAATAAAGGTACATGTACAATTTTTTATTATTTTTTTAATTCAATTTTGGATGTGAAAGAAAAGAAAAAGGAGCACATACTAGGCTGTCGTACGGTTGTATGGATGTAGATTTTTTAAACTTAATGGCTAAATACCTGATATATTTATTATAGAAGGTAGTTTGACATTCTTGTATCAAGAAAGCAAGACAAGAAAATGGGATCAAGCAGTACAAGTAGTATGCAAGCTATTGTATGGGATTGAATTGATGAAATGGCAGTAGTGGGTAACATTATCACAAACAATAAACGAAGTCAAACATTGCAGTACGCCAGTCAAGGCGAGCCTTTGAATGGGACGGATGGGTTGATGAATGGCAGAAGTGGCTAACATGATTACAAACAATAAAAGAAATCGAACATTGAAGTTGCAAATCAGGGGGTCTTTGAATGGGATGGGTTGATGAATGGAAGAACTGGGTAGCAATATCGCAAACAGAACAGTAAAGTTAGTTGGGTCAGTCAGAGCAAGTAGTTCTAGTATGCAAGTAATTCATGCCTTAAGCAGATCACAAACAAAAAACAGGTTGTAGGACGGTGACGTTGGGGGTGATAACAGGCCAAGTAGAGTGTGGTATACCACAAATAACATACCCTTTGCTAGAATAATATGTAAATATACACATAAGTTCAGCGTCTTCACCGGCAAACACCTGTACATCTTCATGATACTTCAACTCTGGAAGACGGTCACCCAGAATACCTGTAAAACATTTAGCATTACGAGGGGTGTTAAAATATGAATGCTACTTTGCCAATATCTCGCTTTTAACAACGTTTTACACGAACTATGTACATGTATCGCATAGATGGTTGTGTAAGCTCTCTGATACAATACATGTGTAAATAAGTTCAGTCTAGCTTTGACAATGATTCTATTAACGTTATCTAAAGCTAAAACGGTGGGGAAAATGTCTCCCTTCACTGACAAATATGGTCCTATATCAAGAACCGCTGTATTCTTGGTATACAGGCCAAAGACATATTCAATTAAATATGTCGTGTTTATGGGAACAATGATTTACCTGCCACACGGTGGTGTAAGAAATTTAAACGTTGTGTGGATTCAGTAAGAGATGCACAACATGCACGCCGTCCGAAAACTGCAACTTCGTCAAAAAAGGTTAACAAAGTTAAGGATTTGATTGTTGATGATGCAAGATTTACAACTTGTTATATAGCTAAATGCGTTTGTATCTCTGTAGGAGCCGCTCATACAATTCTCAGACGTGCTTTAAAAAATGAGCAGGATAAGTGGCAGATGTATACCATATCTCCTTTCAAAAGAGCAAAATTTTGCTCGAGTAAGAATCTACAAACAATTGTTGAAACAGTTCGAACTTTCGCAAATATCATCACTACCGATGAGACGTGGGTTCACTTTTATGAGCCCAAGCGAAAAATACATAGCAAAATATGGGCAACCAAAGGAAGTCAAAGACCTTACGAAACACACCATGAGCGTGAAAATGGTCATGTATGTATTTTTCTCTTCCAATCAAGGGTCTGCTATTCAAATTGCCATACCAAAGGGTAAATCTGTAAATGCATAGTTTTACAATGGCAAGGTCCTTCATAACTTAAAGAAATATTTCAAAAACGGTCGACCAGCAACTGGTCTTCGTGTTGTCAGGTTGTTGCATGACAATGCTTTTACACAAAGCGTCCAATTGAACGAGAATATCTGAAACAGGAAAGAGTTTTCGAGTTTCCCCACTCTCCTTTTCACCAGATCTTGTTCCTTGTGACATTTTTTCTATTTCCGAGGGTCAAATAACACCTTGCTGAAAGAAAATATCAAACGCGAAAATATCTCGATTCAGCTATTTTCCAGTGTTTGAAAATTGTCTGTATACCTCGAAAAGGTTATGAAAACGCATTTAAAATTCGATTAAAAGACTAAAACTTGGTACATCAAATGGTGGTTAGTATTTTGCATAATTTAGGTAATTATTTTGGCACTGTTTGTTAAGCACTTCTGAAAATTGACTCAGTTGCATTCATATTTGAATACCCCTCGTATGCAATAAATACTTAAATTAAATCAAACATAATTAAATGAGATCTCTCAGGATGCTATTCTGTACAAAAAAAAAACAAATGGACAAAATTTAAGTATTTCCAAATATCCATAAATCCATCATAACATAAGGTAAAGTTTTAAAGATGATTTTGTTTCCCCACCAATGGCACATGTCAATTTGGATTGGGAAGGTAAAATATCATTTTTTATTTACAGATGTTTTTATTAAACAGAAGTATCATTTTTTTTAAAGTTCAGAATCAGATTCAAAATTAAATCAACATCTTAAATCCCATTTTGTATTACAATGTACACAATATGAAAGAGATTTAAATAAAGGTGAACATTAACATTAGTTGCTGGGTCGTATGGGGGTTGCGTTCATTGAACGCTGCCTTTCCTTGTTGATCTTGTTTATCATATTTTAGCAGACAGACTGCTTCCATGTTTACAAATAAGTTTTTTTTTTCTTTGGTAATAAAAGTTTTATTGTTGGTTAGTAGTGATTTTTGTGGGAAAGTAACAGGAGGGGAAACAAGTAATATTTTATTAAAGATCATACTCATTTTTGTAGGGTTTTATATCGCACAAACACAGTAAGTAAGTCATATTTACAGCTATATTTATGGAGGAGGACTTCAGGTGCTATCAATTATATATCAAAAACTTTTAATTACCATCACATTTAATAAATATTGTACCAAAAACATTTAGTTACCATTATTCACAGTAAGTCGGATTGTCTCTGTATTACTAACTTCTATGAGTAAAACATTGTTGAAAGTAGAACATACGTATATGTAACCATTGTCTGACTTCTCAGCCCATAGAAAATGAAGATTTCCTGAAATATGAAACAATTATTTTTTAGATATTTTTTGTTTGTTTCAATATTAACGGTTACTTAAAATCGAAATGCCTCTGAGCACCTCAGGATGAGCAAAATCAAATCCATCAAAAAATAAAGTTAAGAAAAATATATTTATATCTTATGAATGACCAGGCTGGCGTGGCTCTAAATCACAGGCGCCAGACACATTATCAATAAACTGTGTCTAGCGCCTGTATTCTAAACTGTTTTTAACATCTCATCAACTATAGTCACAACAAAGAAAGGTTTGGAACAAAAATCTGGAGCCATGCTAGAAAAAATAGCTTTGTCAGTCATTTCCTGATTTTGTTCAATTGTGAATGATACAAACGTCATCAGATCAAAGGCGGCAAACCATTTTTAGATTAATGTTATACTTTATATAAATTTAAGTTTACATGATTAAGTGCTGTTGAAATTTCATTGTGAGCACGGTAACCACGACACTGTAATGTTCATACGAATACTTTCTAGCTTTACTGGTTGTTTGGAAGATTACAGATGCCACTCAATACATTAATGCAAGCATGAGATAGCACCTGAGTAGACTAATAAGCTGTTTGGATAGCTTCTTCTCATGAAAGAATTCAAGTTCCAAGGTAGGATCAAACCCTTTAGTGAGGGGCAAGTGGTCTGAAATCAACTATCTCATCAACTTATACAGTGTCATATATCTGAAGGAAAATGAAATTAAAATATCTAATTAAAACTGTGGTTTCTATTATAACTGTCAAAACTGACAGTCCAATCCATTTAAGTAAGTAAAATATAAGCCATTTGAAACTTAGCATCTCAACTGACAAGTTTCTTTCTATTTATAACAATAAGCTGATGAAAATATACCCTACCTTTCTTATCAATAGCAAATCTTTCCGATATTATCACTGGGTTTGCTTCCAATCGTCCATTCTGAAAAACATCATAGTTGAGAGATTATTTTGAGTTTACCTTTTTTGGGGGATGGGGTAAAAATTTAAGTAACATGAACATAAAAAAGGTCCTTAGGTAACTTTCGAGCATTATTGTAAAGCTCATATAGAACTTTCTAGCTTACTTGTAAAGGTCGTTAAATATCTTTGGACTTTCCAGCTTTACTGTAAAGCTCATAAATATTTGGGCTTTCTAGCTTTACTGACAGTCTCATCAAATTTTGGGCTTTCTAGAATGTAGGAAGAAAAGCACAGGTTATATATGGCATGAACAGACACAATATTGAACCAACAACCCTCAATAAACTTACGAGACTTCATCATAAAATAAAAGACTCTTTTTAATGGGACAAACCCGACATTTCGACATATAGGTTCGCAACTTATCAAGAATATACATCTAGAATCTCGTATTGGACATACATTCCAACATTTAAGAGTTATTTATGAACTTACTTCATACTAATCTAATCCGTAAAGTTACTTTGTGTACAATGATATGGGAACAGAGGACTGGTATTATTAAAGTTGTAAATACAACTTTCATGAGGAAGTTTTTGTTAGTTTCACTTTCACTCTCACAAAATTTGCTTTCTATAAAATTCCTTTTTTGCGATTTGTTTTCAATTTGTCAACAAATATTTTAACCAAATAAAAATAACTTCTTGATTACCCTTATAAATCCTTTCTTCCAGCTAAACAGCCACTGGGGAACACTATAGGGAACATCTTTACATTCTAACTTGAAGTATTTTGAAACATCCGCCTCTAAATCTGTTGTCGACACCCCTGTTCCTTTGAACGTATTTGCGACTGAACAAAAATACAAATTTAATTTAACAACATATAAATTAAAATATGATAGAAGTACAAATAAGCATTTTAAAATTCGACCGCGATGTGTTTAATTTTCATACATGAAACTATCGTGCAGACCCTCTGGCTTTAAAGATGAATAAAAACATCACACGTGATCCTCCATTGTCTTCGTCATGGCTGAGCCAACACCTATGACCACTTGTTTGCTGTTCGCGGTGTTTGAGAGAGGAAATAACTTGCAAGTATGTAAAGAAAAAATTAATCTGAACAAGGGACTTAAATATGTTCAAATCCATGACGAAAGTAAAATACTCTTGCCCAGATATTGAAATGAAGGGCATAAATAAGTATTTTAGAGTTCAAGCAATATATTGGATATGAGGGCTGATCTAGGTCTGCGCTGGCATCGCATTATACTACATTAGGTAGTAAGAACAGAAGTTGTTCATTTTTTGTTTCTTAACGATGAATCCTTTTGATAATGCAGTAGAATTTACTGAATTTGGAAGTAGGTCAATCAGTCAAAATATAGGTCAAGTTTTATAGCAATCTTTTCTTTACCTTAATCTGAATACAGGGTCAAAATTTCATAACTTTACTAAGGGTGTTCCAAAAATAATGTCATTTGCCTTTCTGTTCCTTTCATCAATTGAAATTTTTCTTGCCCTCAAAATACACCGTTTGAGTCTCTCCATTCAACTTTCAAAGTAGAGTTCATACTCTTTAATGGGGACACTCATTAGGTACTGATAAACAGCAGACCCAAGGGCATTTCTCGACTTGTATCTTTTTCTAGACAGTTGGAAATTGAGTTTGAAAACATGAAAAAGTCACAAGGGGCCGAGTCTGGTTAATATGGAGGATGCGGCAGGACAATAACTTTTCTGCTACCGAAACATCGGTCACAAGCCTAGCCTTATGAGCAGGGCATTATCATGCAAAAGCCGGAGGTACTTGATTTCTGTTCTTGGGCGGCAGCATTTGTAGTAGGACTTTAAATTTTTCAGAACAAAATGTTTGTACAACTTTGCTGTTACCGTTCTGCCTTTTGGTACCAGAATTTGCATTACTGTTCCCTTATTATCAAAGAAAATCACATACTAAAGTTTCTTAACAGTGCGTTAGTGCTTGGCAATACTCTGGTGTTTTGCATTTTAGCGGTTCAAATTTTATTTGAACATTTCCGCTTTGGCTCAAAATAGTTAACCTATGTCTCAACACAAGTAACGAAATTGTTGAAAGCCTTTTTGTTATATTTGGGATACATTTTGAGAAGCGTTTTAGCATTTGCAACACGTGTTCTCTTTTGTTCGTCTGTTACCAAATGGGTTATCCATCTTGCATTTAATTTCCGAAGTTGTAGATGTTTCTTTAAAATACCATTAACTCGCGATAAAGAAAAGTAAAGAAAATAAAGAAAATGTTAGACAACCGTGCTAAATCCCTCACAGTGTATCGGGTATCTTTGTTCAGCATATCCTGATTTTTTTCTATGATGTTTTTCGTCGTTGTTCTTGCAGGACGACCTTGTCGAGTATTATCTTTGACTCTTAAATTTAGCAACCCACCTACAAATAGATCTGTGAGACATTTTACCCTCCCCATAAATGTCGCACACCTCTCGGTGAATATCTACAGGCTTTATGACCATTCGGAACTGCCTCGGCTATTCTCTATAATAACCTCGGAAACAATACGGATTGAAAGTAGTTCTACCACGTGGTTTCAGATGTAAACAGAAACAGAGATAATGTAAAACGAATGTATATATTTGACCTCTAATGTCTGTTCCGGTACTCTTTTGCTTGAAAATATGTCTGACAACAATTTGTAATTTGAATGTGCCCACTAATGTTCAATTTTAAACAAATCCGACGAAATGTCAACAGGTTGTTTTTTTTTTTACTTTCGGTTTCTACAACTATAATAATAAATATATAAATAAAGTTTCCTTTTAAAAGGAAAGGCTTGCACAGTTGTGCCTTCATCCCAACATATTTAGTTGTTTTTATTTTTGTAAAAACGAATATTTTTGTCAAAACGATTTGAAATCTATTCTCTATTGTATAAAACTAATAAAGAAAATAATCAATCGTAAAATCATCCAACCCCGCTGTGTAAAATCTATACGCTTAAATGCTTTTCCTGCTCGTGCAATCGACAAATGGAATGACCTGGACGAAACGATAGTTTGTAGCAATAGTGTTAACTCATTCAAATGTAAATTTGATAAAGCATGGCAGAATCAAAGGCATGACCTGGAAGATATATATTCCTAGACGCGTACTTTTCCGCGTGATTTTTTCAACCGGAAGCGGAACACCAAATGTAAACATAAGATCGAGGGAGTCAACAAGCACAGAAGTGCTTACAATACTCCAAGGAAACAGTAAACAGTAATACAAACGTGGAGATCTATCTATCATACTGAAAGGAAACAAGTGTGCACATTTCATTTCCACTTCGTTACGTGGTACCAATTAATAAGCATGTTCACACCTATAGATCATCACGTGGTAAGGTTAATGATATGCATGGACTATTTTTAGATTACCTCACCAAGTTCAGTAGATCTAAATATAACTCGATCATGCACTAATATTCTGTGTGAATTGAACCACCCTTTGAAGACGGAATACTACTACAGTCAACATCCTCTATTGTATAAAACCTGGGACATAAGATATTATCTTATGTCCCAGATAAAACTAATACAGACAAAAAACAATTATAAAAGAAACTAACTTTTGCGTCTTGAAAAAGAATTGAAACGGAACAATTTCGTTTATAATTTATTACGGTTTAAATCAATAAATCAAGTAAAAATACGAATCCTATTTATATAAACAAACTGGATTACCGAAGTAACTAAAATAGCTTAGATTTCCGTAATATTACTTCGTTTGATTCCGCCAGCATTCGGAACTGCCTCGGCTATTATCTATAATATTAATTAGTCCTTATCCGAAGACTGACGGAAAGGGCCGAGTAAGTTGCGATTGATTCTGCGTAATGACGGAATCGCCCGAATTGTCACGATTGCAATCGGAACTACATCGGCTATTATCGTTAATCGAAGAGTGACGAAAAAGGCCGAAAAGTTGCGATTGGCACGATTGCAGCTGGTTTCCCGTTCAATCATGCACTTACAAATGTAAGCAGAAAAACACCTAAGCGGGACAAGTTTTCCATATGAAATGGCCAATAATATATTGTTTGCTTTTGCACCTATGAATTCACTTATTTTAGGTGGATTTTTACTACATATATTGTAAATAAACTTGTCAACAACTCCCAGCATTAAATTACTATTTGTTAACATGTTTAGTTTCTTAGCGTAAGTTAAACCGAAATACCGCATTCGTTCTGTGTATTCATACTATTGTGTTCGAGGTCCTTATCCGAAGACTGACGGAAAGGGCCGAGTAGTTGCGATTGGCTTTATGACGAGTAATGTCCGACCTTTTTATATAAGCCCTCATTTCAAGCACATCTTTATATAGCTCTTCTACCATTCATTTCATGTATAGTGTAATGAATACGCTTTAAAGCATGTACAATGTATCAATGTCAGTGAAATTTTGAACAATAATTTCGCCTATGTATTGCTTCAGTGATTATTCGATCGGTCCGAAGTGGTTTATAATACAGGTCACATGATATTCACGAGAAAATGCACAAATGACATCATTTTTTGAACACCGCTCGTATCTAAAAATAGTAGGTCACTAGGTAAAAATATATACATGTATCTATTGATATCAGAGTTCAATTCTACATCTGGAACCATGATTATGGTTCAAATTTTATAGCTGTATGTCAAATGACAAATATTTTTTTACTATACTATATACATATAAGTAAAACACATGACCTCCAGGCAAGGGCTTATTTTGACCCAAGCCTATATAATTTATACAATCTTTGTAGAGGTCCACCAGACAATTCCTTTTGCAAAATATCAAAACTCTAAGTCTTGCGGTTCTTGAGAAGAATTGTTTTTGAATTTCTATATATACTTCCTTTTGGTTGACATGACAACCAGATTTCTGCATGTAATCAAAATAAAACAACTTTGGAAATTCACCATTACCATGTAACTTGGCACAAATCTCAACCAATTATATTATTGCATAAATGTATTTTGTGAGGAAAGATAAATACATGTAATAATGAATTTGCAGCAGCTGTTTAGCAAAATAATATAAACTTCACTAATAATATATAATGAATCATTATCAGAAACAAGACGCTTTCATGAATTTAAAAAACATTTCATTAGTTTAAATATGCTATTTATTCAATTTTCTAACAAAAAATAAAGATGAAAACGTAAGTATTTTGAAAGCAAAGAAAATGCAACTTTACGGGAGATGCCCTCCCGTGCATTATTTTAGGAATGGGCACCCTAGTTAAACCACAATGTTTCATATCTGGCTAAACAGATTCCTCACATGAAACAATCCAAACTTTTTGGCGAGATTCGAACCTACAGCTCTGAGATGCAAGTGGTTTGAATTCAACAACCTTAACCACTCAGCATTGGATGCCCCTTGTACTCAGACATAACAAACTTATGATAAAACTGTTACTTGAATATGGCATTGAACTTGAAATGACATTGATCATTCTGGTCAAGCTATTGAATTTCTTTACATTATCATGATAACTTTGATGTTATTGCAGTTTAATTCATACTTTTTACCACAAATATGATATGTTGAGTCATCATTTAAATAAGGCCGGGACCCTAAAATGATCTTGAATGTCATAGTCAAGTTGTTTAAAGCTCCGTGTCTCCACATGGGCTAAATATTTCAAGAAAATCAAACTTAAGAAATAATATTAAGATTTTAAGAAGAAAAGTTATAAGAATAATTTACATGTTATGTGCATTAAATGACTGATTTTTCAGTATGTATCGCCAATTTTTGCATTATTTCGACCTCTTTGATAAATGATGAAGATTTTAAGGGCAAATTTGAAGTGCAGTTTGCAATGTGCAAATTACTTCCATGATCACTCTACAATATTTTACACTTAAATACATGTAACGGTTTAGAACTGTTAACTTATTAAAGGAGATAGCGTGTAAGCGGCCGGATAGCTCAATAATAATTTTTAGTGCCACCATACTGTATTCGAGGGTCTCGGGCTCGAGTTTCAGTCAGGCTGCACTTTTTATTACCATGTGATGTTAGGCCGTGGCGGTATAAAGCTCGAAGTCCAATTTTATATTGTTCTCTGTACCCATTTCGAAATTAGAAAACAAATTGCAATATCACAGGGAAGTATGGCACGGTTCAGAACTGTTCACTATTGAGGTGAGATAGTGTGTAAGCGGACGGATAGCTCAGTCGGTAGAGTCACTGTGCATTATTCTGTCGGATCCTGTTCGAGTAACAGTCAGGCTGTACATTTTTCTCACCCTATGTCATACACATTAAATTTTTGAAAGTTACTGATGAAAAATCAAACCTTGTACATAATTTTCATATGACCATGCTCTAAATTAAATATGACTAAATAATGAAGTTGATTCATACTAGGTAAATGGACAATACACGTTGAACAACTAAAACATGAGCTTAAAGACATGAATGCAAATATAACGGAACTGACTTAAATTGAGATTACTATTTTATCTATTCATACTTAAAAAAAAGTTTTTAAAAAAAAACAATATTTATGACAATGCATGAATTAGAACTTTGTATTTTATTGAAAATCACAATTCATCATGCAGTAAGCAAATAAAAACCTTGTGTTAACGTCAGCAAATATACCAACCTACAGCTATGATTTTAAGGATAGGTGTCATAGCGGTACCATATTTATTTGAGGCAAAGCATTGATAATCTCCCGTATGTAATTCACCAAATAGAGGCCCCGTTGTAAGAGTTCCGGTATCCTTGTCAAATGTGACTACTCTATCATCCGAGACAATTTCTGTCCCATTTACAGTCCAATAATATCTACAACAGAAAGCAAAACATAAAAAGATGTGCATAATATATATACATGTACTCATTCCATGCTCCAAATTTTAGTACTATTTTTTTTTGCCTTCCACAGCATCAAGAATTCTTGTCTACGAGGAACAAAATATGTTTTTTAATGCCCAATATGCCATAGAATTGTTTTTAATTTATTTATAACTTATTTTTTTAGCTTTTAACTCTTGGTTTTAAAACAGTTAATCAGTTTACTTGAACCACCTTTCTGTTGATCTATTGCAATAAGTAGTTATAGTGATTCAATATACTATATAGAAGTTAAAATACTACTTTGTTTACATTTTGCTACTTTAATAACAAATAATTTCACCTGTAGCTCTACTTTCTTCAGAGACAAGCATGTAACGTGCTCTTTAACCATTTTTCAAAGGTTTTAAAATTACTTTTTGTGATTTTTTTTAATAAATATGAATGTATTCATGTCCTAGGCATAATGTGCTTATGAGCAAAAACCAAAGCCAAAATTCCAAATTTTAAGCAAGAGGTTGTTAAATGTCTTTAATATAAACAAGGTATTGTCAAATTTCTTAATTTTGAACAAACCATTTCAAAATTCCAGATTTTAAGCAAGATGTTGCAAAATTTCCTAATTTGACCATGATGTCGAATTTCCGAATCCTGGTGATATGGGGTTATCTTCCCAAAACACTGTTAGAATACAAGCTTCCGATAGGACAATATTCTCCAATATACTCAGTGCTTGATAGTAAATCAAAAGCCTAAGTAATGTAGAATTTTCTAAACTTAACAGAACTCCATTTTTCTGTTATTATTAGAGTTATGAGCCTTGGACATTGACATATTATGTTCTCTAGCAAGAGTGTTTGAAGTTTCCAAAACGCAGCATAATAACAGAATTTTTCATTTACAGTTAGATGGACAAAACTATACTTACTTTGCCTGAGGTTTTGCTGTAGCCTGGCATTCAAATGTATTAGGACTTGCCTTTCTTACATACACTTTTGTCTGAGACCATTTATTTCCTTGTGGTACAGAAATCTGGGGCGGATGTCCTTCTACAAATGTAAAAAAGACAAGATCAGCCTATACAAAAAAGTGTATTTTGTTATTGCTCTGTAACTGAATTGACATGTCATCATTGTTTGTTAAATAACAGTACTTTGTATCTGGTATATCAAATATTGTTTATACAAGCTATAAAAAATTATATGTCAAAGTTTGCGTGAAAAGAAAATCTGGAAATTTTTAACATGTATTCTTCAATATTAGCAATTCTTTAATGTTTAGCTTTAGAAATGCTTCACTATATTAAAAACACTAAGGAAATGTATTTTTACAATTTATAATTCAGTCTGGGGGTGGGAAATAGTTTTAACTTTGGGGATATGGCTCATTACTTCTGAAAGATCTAACAAGATAGAAAATATCCCTATAAATAATATAAGTAAGCAGTAGTCTGCAGTATTATCTCTTGGTCATTATGCATGCCAGTGCAGTAAGAGTTTTGTTCTTTAAATCGCTAATAAGCAGTTTCAAAATCAAAGTGGATTAAGGGATATAAAACAAATCCAAATAATAAGAACTCATGTAATTCATGGTATATGAGTTTTGCACGAGTAAATAGATTATGACGATACATAAGATGTATGATGGGTATTCGTCAGATGCCCTAAATTTCATCCCTGAGTCAACATCATTAATGTTTATGTCACATAGTCTTGTCAAATGTTCGTTAAGAAAGAAAACAATTGGATATTTTAAGTAAATTTGATACATATATATGTCGATTTATTTTTCAACATAGAAAGCTTGAATTATTAAAAGTTAGAAGCAACAATCTAGCACTGTAAAAATGCTTAGGGTTACGAATCATGGCCACCCGTGGATATATTATTTATTCACTCTAACATGATATTGAATATTGTCAATTTTCCAGAAAGCCCTTGAAACAAAAAAACTAATTCAATTTTCAATCGATTCAAAATAAAAAAGATTTGGTCCAGAAAGCACTTAATATGCATGTAAGAGAGAGTGACTCTGTGGCCTGCACTCTGCATTCTGCACCAAATATTTTTTGTACTTGAAAGCACGTTTTAAAAACTTGAGCCTCTGTTTTGTTGAAAAATTTCATCGAGTGCATTCCTTCATGAAGTAAAATTGTATGACTGTTTCTTTCACTATCCGAGTGTTTTTTTTTTGTGTTTTTTTTTCATCATAGCCGCACTGTCAATAGACCAATGCCATTTGATTTTCAAGTACCTGCTTTGTTTTATTTTTTTCATTTGATTATTGTAGTTTATCCATGACATCTAAATGAATTCAAATGAATCTCTCTTAATGAACTTCAAAGCTTATTAATGAGAATGATTGATAATAAATGTTAGGCACAAATGACTTATTCAGAAAGACCAGGACTTTTCCTAGACATTTTAGGAAAAAGTACCTAACCCAGAGTGGGATATTTTGCGTCATGAAATTGCTTAATTTGAGAAAAAATGGTACTTATTGAAACTACCTTATGACACTGGCATGAAATTTGTCAGTTTTGATATCAGGAATTTCAGTTTGACAGGAATTTTTTATAAGATTGGGTAAAAAATAAGCATACCGGTATTTGCCATTTGGAATGGGTCTGATAATCTGACCCATGTTGAAACTGGGAAAAGGAATGTCTAAACCCCTTTCTAAGCTTGAATCTTGCAAATCTAAGTTGGACTCTTAAAAATTTGATGTGATTGGTCATTGACCCTTGCGTTTCAAAGTCTTTCGAAACATCCTATGTACCATAATAATTTACTTACCTCGCGCCTTCACTTGCGCTATACACACTAGACAGCAAACAGCAAAAAGTATCTTCATTTTCAATTCTCCCATGAACAATGCTGAAATTGCAAAATCAGTTCTTTATACAATATGTATTTGTCTCCTAGAATTTCTAACAACTATTAACATTTGAGGAAACCACTATGAAATGAACAACTAAGAATATAAAAAAGGAAGACCATATCCTCACTCTGTATTTCATTCACTAGTTGTATTGATGGGTAATTGGTAGGTTAGGTATGGTTTGGAACAGAGAAGGAAGCTTTACAGGCGAAGGAAGACCTTTGGTGCCCCTCCATGCATTTATTTATGACAGACACAAACGGGCACGTGAGTAGATCCACCAACGTTCTGTAAGCTAGCTAGGTAACTTCCTTATATAAACGAATGCAGGGTAGAATACAAATATTTGAACTCACAGCGGTGTATGGGGAAAGTGGTTTGAAGTCAATAACCTTAAACACTCGACCACAGACGTCAAGACAGCAGACAAGGTATTATTATCCTAACGGGTACTATAAGGAACTGAAAAAATGATAACATAAGTAAGATATTTACCTTTCAGGACACATGTATGCAAAATTTAAACAAACTTTACAGTACGGAAATTTTGGCCACTTTTCTGAATTTAATTTTGGATTTTAAAAGGGTCCTTTTTCAGAAATAAGGAACTTTTAAATAATCGACAATATCATCCTAATGAAAAATGTTTTCACATTAATTTGTGATCAAAAACAAAATGTAACATTCAGCTAATAATCCATATAAGCAAAATGATTGATTCTACTCAAATTTTTTGAAATATGTATAAAAATGTTACCATACCCCACCCATTTTAACAAGTGTTCCACCTTGGTGCCAAATCTTTTTTAAAAAAATCCCTAAAATTTACTTAAATGAGTGCCTGTTATCGAAGGTTCCCTAAATTTTCTGAAAAGTATAATGGTTGATCTTGTAAAATATTAAATACTTGTATCGTCTAGTTTTGATTTTGTTGAACTTTGAAAATATCAGGTAGCACACTTGTCATTAGATTTAGCATTATTTAGCCAATTAAATGATTAAGAATAAACATTTATTCTTCCAAAAAGGCATATGGGAGATTCAAAATTAAAGAAAAATAAGAAGAAAAGGTTGACCCTTATGGGGATTGAACCCAAGTCCCTAAGTTTCAATGTATTTAACATTGGAAAACTCTTCAAAGCGGAGGTAATGCTTAGGATGTTCATACCTTAATGGCAGTCCTGATGTTTTTGTTCTTGTTTGTTTATACAACAAATGTATTCTGTTTATTCACTAAATATTAAATCATTTACAAAGACATAGAAAACAAGCTCAGAAATCTGATATTTAAGCAGCCTTCAGGGACTTGGAGATATTTCAATTGATGACCTAGCAGATTAAAACAAACCTTTCAAATAGATCAATCAATCAATGCAACAAGCAAACCTTTATAACAATTAGCCAATACTAAATACTGTTCTTGTTTTGACCAATATATTCTGTTGGATGCTATAGACATATCTACCAGACAGGTATATTATATCACTTTTAAACATTTAAAACTTCAAATTTTGCAAAATTTTTTGAGGTTATCAATACATAAACAATTCACTAAATTGAATTCTTATGACTTTAACCACATATTTTATAAAAAAAGTATTAATTTGCACTTAAAATCTGTAAGTTATTTTTATTATATTGTACAGAATTAAGGCTCCTTTTTGAGTAGTGGAGGTCTATATTTACACGGTTAAGTTTAAAGTATGACACAATTTTGAGAATTTTAGTCAATGGGAATACAAAAGAAACACTACCCTGCGTAATCTTCCACATTCTTCTTGTCATGCATGCATTTAAGCATGACTGCAAATAATTATGATCTTGCTTACAATCTATGATAGAATCTATTTTTACACAATGTAACATTACGGTGTTCCGTTTGGACACGTTTGGACAATCGTGACATTTTATTTATTCTGTACCCGCGATGCACGATGGTACGATGGTGAAAACGCGATGGCACGATGGTACGATGGTGAAAACACGATGGTACGATGGTGAAATCACGATGGTACGATGGTGAAATCGCGATAGCGCGATAGTACGATGGTGAAAACGCGATGTTACATCGCGTTTTCACCATCGTACCATCGTGATTTCACCATCGTACCATCGCGTTTTCACCATCGTACCATCGCACCATCGCGCCATCGTGTTTTCACCATCGTGCCATCGCGTTTTCACCATCGTACCATCGCACTTTCACCATCGTACCATCGTGATTTCACCATCGTACCATCGCGTTTTCACCATCGTACCATCGTGCATCGCGGGTACAGAATACAGAAAACGCGATGGCACAATGGTACGATGGTGAAAACACGATGGTACGATGGTGAAAACGCGATGGTACGATGGTGAAATCGCGAAGGTACGATGGTGAAATCGCGATGGTATGATGGTGAAAGCGCGATGGCACGATGGTGAAAACACGACAGCGCGATGGTACGATGGTGAAAACACGATGGTACGATGGTGAAATCACGATGGTACGATGGTGAAAACGCGATGTAACATCGTGTTTTCACCATCGTACTATCGCGCCATCGCGATTTCATCATCGTACCATCGTGATTTCACCATCGTACCATCGTGTTTTCACCATCGTACCATCGTGCCATCGCGTTTTCACCATCGTACCATCGTGCATCGCGGGTACAGAATAAATAAAATGTCACGATTGTCCAAACGTGTCCAAACGGAACACCGTAAACATTCCGTACAGGAGTCGTAAAATCATACAACTACACTTTTTTAAACAGAATGTTATTTTTCTATTCACTGCAGTGCATCGTAAACAACATATATAAATAGGTTATACATTACATTATGTTATAAAGCGAGTATGAAACCATCTACCGGAAGAGTGACTTTAGTAATACGATGAAATAAATTTATGACATAAAACAGGTCTTACATGTGTTATATGTGTTGTTGCATTCAAATGAAAATCCCACAACTGACCTCAAAAGTTAGATCATTCTATTGAAATATCCCTATACTAACACAAGCAAAATGTTTTTCAACTCAAAGAATAAAACTTTAAAACAACCATATTATATAAATATATTACTCACATAGGAAGACAAATAATAACGGACATTTAATAACGCACTCCTCTAGATTTGCATATTGTGAATTATAACAGAGAAATAACAAAAAATTCCATATTTGGACATTAGGCGAAGATCCGTGTTTATCTGTTTACATGTTTCTAATTAACACTGAGTCAGTACGGAAACATGACTGTCAAACTTTCTGTGTGAAAACTTCATTATAATTGATGAACATTATTATATGTAACCAGGAAAGTAAATATTTCAGTAGACAGTAGGCAGTGGGACATGTACCGGAGGTACAATCACTGTCTGGACAAAGTGACAAAGTAACAAAGTTTTAAGAATTACTTAAAAGATATACCGGAACTGATGTGAGTTTGTTTTTTTTTTCTTCTCTTTTTCTTTTCTTTTAATCTTTACGATTTTTTTTATTCGTAATAAATAATATTTTTTATTTGTTATCAATGAAATAAAATACATCTATTTTTTTGAGAATATGGCTTTTTTCTTAATGACAAAGACAATTTTCAATTTATCTTTAAGTTTTCTAAAATGTGAACAATTTCCCTCCCAAATTTGGGTTTTGGGCCCAAATTAAAAATTTTGGGTTAAAAACGAATTAATATTTTCAAAAACAACAAATAAATATTTCGTAATTTATAAATTTTAATATTTGTATTAAAATTTAAAATTAAATTTTTCTTTTTTAAAGATCATGTTTTCTTTTTTTTTTGGGTTTTTTTATTTTAAAAATAAAAAATGGCTCAAATAAAAATTTTATCAATTTTGGGTAATTTCCCCAAAAAAGGCATTTTGTAAAAAATATTCCCCGGGAATTTTTGCTTTTCCCTTTGTTACAAAAAGGAAAGGGGAAATTTAAAAATTTTTCAAATTAGAGTCAAAGTAAATTTCCCTTTCAATAAAAATGAATGCATAAAATTTTTAATAATTACATAAAATTTTGGGGACAAATATTTCCCACAAACATTTTTTACATTTTTCTTGGGAATTTTTTAAAAAAATTTTTTTTTAGAAGTTTTTTAATTATTCCCCATATACCAAAAGGGTTTATAAATTTTTAAATTTTTAAAAATAAATGAAAACAACCTTTTTTAAAACAAATCCCAATTCAAACTGGGGTTTTTGGAATTCAAAAAATTTCCCCCCCGGGGGTTTTCCCCGTTTGGGGAAAAAACTTTTAAGGGTTTTTTTGGGGAAAATTTTAAAAATTAAAATAGGTAGGGGGCCCCAAAATTAAAAGGAAAGGGTAAAAATTTAAATTGCAAAAAATTGTTCATCGGGGAATGGGTGTTAAAACAATTTTTGAAAAATTTGTTTTATAAACAATTTGATTTTATGATATTCAATATCCATCGGGGACCAATTGTTTATGTATAAATTGGTTTTATTATTGGGGTAAATTGGGTTTGAAACCATCTTGGTTGGTAAGCCTTAATGGGAATTTTGCAGCCCTTCTTTGGGATATTTATCTGATAAAATTAAATGTAAATATGCATTGAATGCTAGAAAATCTACATTCCTTCCCTCTTAATATTACATGACTATAATATTTCTGAGGAAACAAAAAAACATTTTGCTCTTTAATCAAATTTAAGGTACTTGGCGAAGAAATTTCAAAAAGGTGCCATAATACAGTACAAATTCCATTCTAAAATATGCTTTATTTCACTTGGGAAAAGGTGTCAAAATCACAAGAGAAAATCTTCACTCAAGATAAGTATATTGCTGTTATGAAAACAATACTTAGTCTGTATCACAGTGTGTTTATTTAGAATATAACTCTAAAACATTTGCATAATGTATTTGTTTATTTAGCAAGAATTTTGTTTATACTTATATGCTCAAAGTAAGCTGCTAGCCTGGTTATGCCGCACAAAAGAACATCTTATAAAAATTTGTCACACCACATAGAAGAACATTAATAGATCCTGGTCACAACGCACAGAAGAACATTATGATAGAGCCTGGTCACACCACACAGAAGACATCAATATTGCCTCGTCGTGCCATGTTTATCAAGTAACGCCGGAATGTGAATAAAACGCACGATTCGTGCAATAAGTAACACAGAATTGTGCAATAAATAGCGGATACCTGACAGGATTTCCAACGCGGTCAGTAAAATTAGCCAATATATTTTCTATTTAACCAAACTGAAAAAGGAATAGCCACATACTGCGAAGACATTATACTTTATCCCTTATCAAGATTAATTTCACGAAATTGCTTACTTTTCAAAATCATTTGGGGAAAATGGGGGCTTGCCCAACCGGTTTAAAAGCGTGATTTTTTGACTTTTTTGTTGACCCCCCATATAAGTCCCAATAATGCAAAATTTTAACCGTAAAAGTTCGATTTTCGGTTTAGGCAAGTGAAATTTTTTCCCTGAATTTAAATTATAAACATGGGAAAAAATTTTTTGAAAAAAAAACTGATAAACATGTTTTTTAAAGGGTATTTTTTGGGTTAGTAACGCCAAAATGTACGTAAATTTAGTGCTTCGTTTGGGGCATTATCTTTTTTCGTTTTTCCCTTCGGGATAAAAAACTTAAGTTAAATCTGACTGTTTTGATTTTTGTGTGTGTGAGGGATTAAAAGCTTTGGGAAGGGGAAAAAAAATTTTTTTTTGGGATATTTTAACATTCTTTTTTAAGGGAAATGTTGTTAAATAAAAAGGGTACTTATTCATGTTTGTAAATTTGGGTAAAGGGGTTTTTCCCATAATCAGTTTTTTTTCTGCTAAAATAAATTTTTTAAAATATCTGGGGGCGTAAATTTTAAATTTTTGCCCCATTTTAAACCCCCTCAGGGAAATTTCTTGCCGGTGAACAACTTTTTTAATAAACTGTTATAGTTAAGAATACATGTTTTAACTTTCTATTTTTAGCGGGGATTAGATAAAAATTAAACAAAAAGGGTGGACAGTATGAAAGCATTCAAAATGTTCTCTTCTGGGCATTCACATAATTGCATGTTCCCCTACAACAATGAAAAGGAGCAAACATATAAAATATATTTTTATAATACATGTAGATTCTTCAACAACCTAAGTTTCCAGCCGTCAGTTTAGTCAACAGTTGTCAATCTGTACGCAGTATCAAGAATTCAAACACGAAATACTGACGAGAAAGGGAAGAGTTGTATCAAGGTATTTAAACAGACATTCTTTCAAGAATTGACCATAATATTATGGAAACAACATAAATTCACTGTAATTTTTTTTTTTTAATCAGATATAGTTCAAATTTTACGCTATTTTAGTCTTCACTTTCTTTATTATAGTTGAAACGGTGAATTATGACACATAAATTTAAGCAAATGCTATGTCTAGTTATTAATGTCTTTGCCAAGTGATTATAACAATAATACGAAGGCAATTTTATTTGTAAAAGAATTGAAATATTATATACAAATGAAAAATTATAGAAGAAACGCAAAACTATTTAGGTACTTGTTTTTTTAATCTCTTTTACATTAAAAACACAAGCTTATAATATAAATCTGTGACAGATTGAAATTATATTAATTTGCTCTGTAATGTTATCATGTATATGATGATGAATGTGTCATTTTATTAACACTAACACAGCATGGCAAAAAGTTTAAGATTATAGGGCTGATAAAAAGTTTTTTAAAGAATAGGGGGCAAAAAATTTGTTTTTAACTTAATTAGAATATACCTAATAAATAGGGTTTTCTTTACTTTTTAAAAACGGTTTTTTCCCCCCTTGGGCTAAAGTTAAGGGTACTATATGGGGTTTTGTTTTAAGGGGTGTTTAAAAAAAAATTTAATACTTCGATAGGTTTAACATATTTGTCAAACTATTTTTCATGTTTATCTTTAAATGAAAGTTATTCGTATTTTTGATAGAAATTTTAAAGATTATATTTCAACATTAATGTTACCTTAAAGCATATTTGTTATTTTAGATTTAAATTTTCACAGAGTGATAGAAAATATTTTGGTTTTTTTTTCTTTCAACGGAAAAGGGGGCAAGGCCATGTAGAGGGGGAAAATACGAAATGTAGAAGGAATTTGAGGAACATTTAAAAAAGGGGAAAGAAGTAGTTCATTATATAAAATTGTTATTACAATAAATTTATGGGTTTCAAATCAACAATCTCATAATTTAATAGGGGGAAAACAATATACATTTTTTTGCAGAGTGGAATTTTGGCTGAATTTCAGCACAAAATTTTGCCCCCGAAAAGGGCACTGGGATAAAAAAATACAAAATAAAAAATTTGAAAAATTGTTGAAAAATTATTATTTAAAGGCTCAAAAACATGTCTCAGAAAATGCCTATCATTTTTATTTTTTCCAAAAACTTTTTTTATTCCTAAGTTACAGAAAAAATCACTCTTTTTGCCATATACACGAAACTATCTTTTGGCTCTTTGGCAATTGGTAGTTTTTATACCAAATTATTCACGGCTACTGTACGTTTAAAGGAAAATCATTTTAGGTCCGACGCGTCGGCAAGTCCACTATTTACGGGTGTAAAAACAGTTTATTGTAAATTTTGTTTTATCAACTTTTTACGATATAAATTAAAATATCAAGAAATTTACTAACTGTCCACGTAACGCAGTAAGTAAGGTTGTCAGTAAAATTTCAAATTAAATATCAATGCAAGATAGGTTCGGTTCGCAAAGAAAAATCTGTGTGAAGAATATGTTGTTTTTTTTACTTGTACGAGTGTTATGTTTTTATTTACTTCTCAGTTCACTGATTTCTTTAGGTGGCACGAAATACTCGAGCTCTGCACGTGTACTGTGACTACTATACATACTACATAAAACACAGGATAAAAATATTAATATCGGTATATTAAAATTATTGGATATTATAACAAAACTACCTTGATATTCAATTTCATTCGCATCTATCAAAAAAATGAAAAAATAGGGAAGAAAAAAAGAAAAATGTTACACAATTGCGAGGCTCGAACTCGTGATAAAATTTTAGTCGAATCGCATCCAAGCGACATTTCCAACTTTGCCATCAAGACATTTCAAATTCTACTTCTTATCTTGTATTACATTCACTTCTTAAAAAGCTGTTTTACCTATTCAGACAAAGATTGTAAACTTATGAGTACACAAAAATTGCAACGTCACTCTCAGATTATCATAGCGGCACAATACCCATTGTTATGTCATTCAAGTTCATTGTTTAGTTTATGCTTTGATAAGTCTACACCATATTTTGTTTGATGAATATCTTATTACATTGCACGATTTTCACGCACGTGTTTTGTACTTCTGTATAGTATATGTTCGGTGTTTTACTATTGTTTCTCACTCAATGCAGTATTTGACAGCTTTAAAAACGTTTTATAGAGTTATAGTTAATATCGATTTAAAGTTGACAAATACAATGTCCAAATCCAAAATTTGTTGTTATTTGGTTTCTTTCAAGTAAGATTATAACATGGGATAAGTGAATAATTGTTTTACTCACGATATAGAGCGAGTAAAGTGGATTAGTATTTTGTAGGGATGTCAGAAATTGCAAAAAAAGTTATATATGGCAGACACGATATATGTTGATAAGAATTTTAAATATACAGAAGTACCTTTTTGGCCTTGTAAGATATGACTTTTGACATATTATATAAAGACAATTAATAAGAAGATACGTAAACCATTATCAATTTCCAATTGAGTACCATTTTAGTCCATTTTTCTCTTCTAGCTATTTCACCACCACATTTTAACACTTATATTTTAGTGGAGTTTTTTTTTGTAAAATGAACGGTAGGTTTACTGTGCGTACACAACTGGTATATAGTATTTAATTGCATTTGTAACCCCAACAACTGTTACAGTATCCTATGAAATTAAAACAATGTCATCATCAGCAAATTCTTGGACAACAGCATTCAATATATTTTACATATAACTAATTAATTATAGTGTTTTACAACAAATAATGTTAAGGTTGACCATGGGTAATGAATTACCTCCACTTTGAAGAGTATTCAAATAGGCTAGACTGCATTGAAAACGTGGGGCGTGGGTTCAAACCCTAAAAGGGGCAATCTTTTTTCTTTCTTTTTTTCTTTTTAACATTATATATGTATCTCGAAAGAAAGAAAAAGTGTTTGATTTGAATTATATAATTATTGTATGTATTCATTTGCTAATTAATGCCAAATTTAATAGTAAACATGATAACAGATATATTCAAAGTTAAATAAAATAAAAACTACACTGTAAAAGTATTTTATATTTTGCATGATCAACCAATATACTTTTAAGAAAATTTATGCAACATTGAAAACAGCCCTCATTGTGGTAAATTTAAGCGATATTTTGAATAAGGCTTTCTATATAATGAAATGGTCAAATAAGTGTTTAAAGTGGATGGGGTAGGGTAACACGTTTATACATATGAAAAACATTATGTTTAGAAACAATCATATTGCTCGTGAAATTTGTTACCTGAATGTTATTATTTGTTTCTTACCAATGAGCATGTGGCGCCGTTATATGTCGCAACGCCGCTAAATGTCGCACTTGCCGCTAAATGTCGCACCATTGACGCTAAATGTCGCAACCGCTGCTAAATGTCGCAAAACCATTTGACGTTAAATGTCGCAATGTCAACGTTAAATGTCGCACGAATTTCCCTTACCGTTAAATGTCGCAACACTACCGTTAAATGTCGCAAGATGTAATTTTATGTTGAACTCAAGTTTTATTGTTGGATCATATTAATTAAATCTGCCTACTCAATTTGAAAGCGAGTGAATTTATTATATATGGAACTGCGCTACAATTTAGGCGGCGATAATACTCATCTTGTAAATAAATGTATATTGTTTTGCGTTCGATTTTTAGCTGATCTTATACAAGTACATATTGATAATTATACAATTGTCTACTATTTGTATGAAACTGCAAAATTGGCATTGTTCTGTAAATAGTTTAGTACAATTGTGTCTGTAAAATGGCAGAAGAGACAGGTTGCCTGAGGTGGCAGTCTGATGGCCTAGTTGACTGAGGAGGCAAATTGTTTCGCTGTCGGAAGAGGAAGCCTAAATTGCTGACGACCTGGACCTTAAGAGTTTGCCTAACGCCCTGTAAACCTAACGTTGGTAGCCTAGTATCCTGAGGAGGCCGCCTAACATCCTAACAGCCTATCGATGTCAACTTTGCAACCTGAAGTTGGCAATCTAACAGCTTTGAGTCGGCAGCCTAGTAGCTTAAAGTTAGTAACTTATATTATAAATATGGAAACAATTTAAAATTCAGTAAAATCACTATGAAAGGTCATGCAAAAGCACATACACATGCATGGTTATGGAAAAAAACGCCTTTACCTTTAGGGCACTTAACTTTGTAGTCTTATAGCCTAAAGCTGGCAGTCTAGGAGCCTGGCAGCCCAAAATTGGTGTCATGTTTTAAAAAATGGAACGATCAAAATAATAAAACGGCAAGTATGATTTTTCCTAAAATCTACTTGTACAAAGGGCTTCATAATTTACACATTTATTAATCAATACAATAAAGTTGATCATGGCAAGTAACATAATTATTGCATGAATTTTAATCAAGTTATTGCCATTTTCAGCAGTTTGAGAATGAATATCGTTAACCTAAACCGGCAAGTTGGGTTTATTTAAGTACTGTCTATACTTATGGCTTCATAATTTCCACACTTACTTATTTAGAAAAAGTTCATGATATTGCCATCCATTTTCCCAAGTTATATTCCTTTTTTTTCACTTTGAAAATAGGACCTTGTATGGTTAACCTATTCCGGTAAGTTGGATTATCTTAAGAATTTATTTATGATATCTTCCTTATCTGGTAGGTGAATACCATTAATGGCCGTGTATTTTTATGGATTAAGGGGTCTCTAGTGTCAAGGTCACTGGTGTGAATTTTTTATAACATTTCTGCTCATTAAGCCTTTATTGTTAAGATTGTGTATTTCATGTTTAATACAAAGATGCCAAGAGAGGTCCTCTTCCTTTGGGTTTAATTGGGGGTCCTGTGGGTAAAGGCCATAGTCACCAATGCCAAAATAGATTTTAACATTTTTACAGTTGTTTTAACAGTATTCTTTTGAAAGATGTCTTTTATATTTGGTAGGAACATGGAATTGAGGTCTTCTCCTTTGGATGGAGTTATGGTTCAGTTGGG